ATCAATGATAATAACCATTAAATCTCCTTCATTAAGAATTTATTCAAATGTTTTATCGACAAAAGACAGATTGTCGAAGCCTTGGGATTTTAAGATTTCATAAGCATACGATTGGTGCCATGCTGGCACTGTTGCATTAATCAGTCCCCCGACCTTTTGTTTCCTTTTCCTTTTTTTTAAAAATACGGTTGACTCGTTCACCTGTAGTCTCTCTCATTACATAAGTTGCCGTAATTACCATAAAAGCTGATGTAACTGATCGAATTTTTATCGTCGACCAAAGTCGGTTATCTCGTAGGTCATTTTGAATACATGTATATCAACGAAATGCCTGGTTAATTGTCCTTTCATATGGGTACATTATAACACAACCGAACTTTGATTTCTTCTAAAATTTAAATCTTAATTTTAATTTGACCACAGTTATTCTAGCCATTTTCAGATGTTATTTCTAGTATCGTACCTGATTAACCCTCTCGTTAAACTCTTAGAGACAAGTGTACTTTGTGTGCACTTTAAAGGCACATGGATCTGATGATCTGTCTTTTGAGAGAAAGGAAATATGCGTTCATATCAAATACTAAGTGCCTGCAGAGTGAAATAGTGCAGATTCACAGTTCATTCATTGACTGCGTGTGTCGAGTGGCCTATATAGCCGTCCATGCGCGGAGCACTCCTTTAAAAATAAGTTTTTGTGGAAAATAACCTTCAATGAGCGTACTTGTGTAGACGTCTATTGATCTTGTGTTTTGATTCGTAGGCGTTTTGATCTTTGGGGGATTGCGTCAGAGCAGTGTGTTTACCGTAACCCTCCGAGTCAATATATTAAGTATAAAGTAAGATAAATATAATATATGTAACACAGTATGCAGGTTGCGGTGTGGTAGGCCGACATTCTTGTCTAATCACTCGCAAAAGGCAAGCTATTTAAAGAATGTTAAACATGCCCAGTCTCATAGGGCGACCTTAACCCAGAGCCCCAGAAAGACAAGCCCATTTCTTTACAAGATCGTTTTTTAAAAAATATACTTAAGTTCTCTATCGTGATTGTACGGGGGTTCTCACGGTCCAGTACAAAGAAAGATTTATGCGAAGTGGTTCTATGAATCTATAGGAGCACGCTTGAACCAATCATTAAAGATATATATGCCGTATTAGTGTTTTATTGCTAAAGAAATAAATATATGTGGTGTCTCATCAAGTTACATAAGTTAGGTAATTTCTGCAATTAAGACAATTCCACTCCATCACTTTCAAAAGTTATGAAATATTATTTTGTAAAAATTATTTTCTCTCCGAATCGGATATTAAACCGCCTCTTATTGAAATATTCATGAACACGTGGTCTCGCATGCTCACAGCAAACAATGGTCCAATCTCGTGAATGAACCGAAAAGCATGATGGTCTACTACGTTTTCACTACAAACACGTGGGTTAGGGAATTGTACGGTGCGAGTTCAATTGACGGCTGGAAAGCCAATTTACATTTCTTAAAAAACCTGTTTTAGAAAAATAGGTAGAATAGTTACTAATTGAGAATTCCCATGCTCACATAAACAAACAAATGCAGTTTTTCATGTTAGCATACTGTATGTTTCGAAGTTGTACACATTGTAAACATTGTCAATACGTGAGCACACCTCAGAGTTATTTGCTTTTTGTACCGAGGAATATATAGTCACGTGAAATTGTCTTTTCACTGTCAGTAGAGCACGGGGAAATTGTAAACAAACGGACCTGTACAATAGAGTGGGGAAACTCTTATTTTTATCATTGTTCATTTGTATGCAAATGTTAGCATGGGATTTGTAGATGATAATGTACATAATGCATTTAGCGTGTAAATGCTTGGGAAATGTACCACGTCTTTCTGAGAGCTATTTTTAAAAAAAAAAGCTAGCCTGTTCGAAAAACACATGAAGTATTTATGTACTGAGTAGTAACCCATAAATGCATTAAATACAACTCATTGAGCTGATTGGTCGATTTGTCAGTCTTGTTGGTTCCTCGCTGAACAGACGTCACAAAAAATAGTTTCCTCGACCTGATGATTCTCGTGATGCTTTTCCCGCGCACATGCGCAGATCCAACATAAACGTCAGTCCTTTATAAATATGCATGAGAATATCGTGTTCTTTTCCCGACCAGTACTTTGTTAATACCGAATAATATTTCGTCGAATTTGAGAGAATGCTTTATTTTTGATAGCTTATCATACTTCAGAAATTTTTGTTTGGTTTCAGCTGTGCAAAAATACGGCATACATATCTTTAAGTTATTTAAAACATGAACTGGTAAAAGACATCCCATTGCAGCATCCTTAATCACGTGATGTCCTAACGCGTCAAACTTCCTACCATTGCGTAAGTGTGTCTGGAAAAAGGTCCGCATTGCGTGTTCAAACCAATTCATACTGTTCCTTTCGTAAAGGGTGTTGCTAAAACGCGGAACGGAAAACGGAACGGAAAACGGAACGGAACGGAAAACGGAATATATTATTTTGGATTAAATCATTTAAAATGCACAAATTTTATCATAAACGATATATCTTGTACACATTCAATCCCACACTATTAAATAAAAGTTGAATTTGTCATGCTCATCTCTTATTTACGAAAATCGCTAGCATAGCAGTCACCTAGAATCGAATTTGAAAAGGGGGAGGGGAGTAAACGAACTTGAAAAGTATTTGACAAGCAAAAACACAAAAAGAAGACGGTTGTTTGATTCAGGAGGGGCATAAAACACAAAAAGAAAACAATTGTTTGATTCGGGCGGGGGAATAAGTTTCAACTTCAACATCTTTCAGTACTATTTTTTTTTTACACTAACTTACTAAATTAATAACATTCTCAAAAAGTGAGGATGTGAACTTGAATGAACATTTCCGTAGTAAAAAGGTTATGACTGGGGGGGGGGGGGGGGGGGCAATATTTGATATCTTATTGAACCACGGAAAGAGAAATAAAATGTAAAAGAAATATTAAGATCACGTTTAGTGCAAATCTTAACGGCAAGCTCGAATAAACATCTCTCATACTCACTGGTTGTTAAATTTTATTCAAAATAGAGTCGTTTTCTGGGTAGACAAAGTTGGAAATCTTTCATGTGGAAGATATAATGCAGAATCTTTCAATTTAAACTTAAATTTTGTTTGTTTTTTGTTTGAGGTACATATGTTTGTATGTTGTGCGGGGGGGGGGGTTGTTGTTTATGAATGACCCCGTAAAAAATCCCACTCATCAGAAAAGTCCTATAAGCTGTGATAGGTCTGACCCCCCCCCCCCCTCTTTTTTGACTCCAAAATATACATAAGGTTTAATAAATCAATTTTTTAAGTGGCTGTGGGTCCCTACACAGACCCGAAACTGCCACTCCCTCTTTCATCATTCGCGAATTCGACACTGCGTGCATAATCTGAATATCATAACTAGTTATTTTTGTCTTTACAGACATTGACATTGGAAACAAATTGAAAGAGGGGGTGGGGGTGGGGGTCAGAAAAAAAAATTACAAACATACAACAAATTTGACAAGCAAAAATGGAGGAAATGTCCTTTGCCCAAACACGAAAATCCAATTTTGTGTGTGTGTTTGCATAGGCCTCGGAACCGGGGGGGGGGGGGGGGGGGGGGGTCTTAGCGCCCTCTTTTTTCCAAATATATACTTAGTTAGATAGAATGTTCTATCGTTAAAATGATATTGTCCTACGGATGTGGTGAGGGCTTGTACCGAGACACAGTTAGATTATTCTAACTAATGCTTAGTATAAACATTGAACATTGTTTCGTAGGTTCAGCCCCCCCCCCCCCTCCCACTTTCCACAGACACGCTGCAGTATAGGTTAAGAATGGGGAAAGTGGTTGTGTTTGGAAAAAAAAATTGGTATTGAAGTTCGAACTCCCCCCCCCCCCCCCCCCCCCCCCGCCACGAAATAGGATTTTCGAGTTCGGGAAATAGACATTTCCTTTGTTTTTTTTTTGGATGCCAAAATTTTTTTGAAGGTATATTTTTTCAATTTTCTTCCGACGCCAATGGTTTGTGTGTGTAAGTGAGGGGGGGGGGGTCAAATTTCAGTACCATTTTGTATGTGTGTATGACTCATAAATATATGATAGTTTACAATAAATTTTTATTAGGAGTGACTTTTACAACAAGAATATTGCTCGTTATCTGATTTATATCGAATCTTTGTTATTTGCTTGAGAAATATTTTCCGTTTTCCGTTCCGTTCCGTTTTCCGTTCCGTTTTCCGTTCCGCGTTTTAGCAACACCCTTTCGTAAAGAGTCTGGATGCATATCTTCAATTTGACGCCCAGGGAATTGCACTTATACCGGTCTAATAGATTTCCCTCGAGTATAATTATCAAATTAACAGACCAGAATGAAGATGCAATCGACCTTGAGTAGAGGTAATATAGATCAGAAATGAACTGTAATAAACAGCAATTTAAGCTGGAGCACGATATCGCCTTCTGATGCACAGTTCGCAGACAATACTTAACAGAAATGCATGCCACGACTGCCAGCGAAAATAGTCAATATTCACAGAATAATTTCATTCACGTATTCGAACAAAAACACGTGGATTGTTTCATGATGAGAAAGCACGCGCTTGCAATTTTATCAGAATATCAGGACGATAAAGTACAGAATCTGGGTCACGCCTTGATCGTAACTGGTGCCCGGTGCCCCGTTCTACAATGTTTCACGCTTTATCGATATTCTATATGACAATCAGATGTGTTCCTGATACCCGAGACAAAGAAACTACCATTTTACAGATACTTAATGAGGACCCCAGAAAACAATGCCAACATATAAGACGTGTGACTGATCGCTCCGTTGGCTACTTATTGTAAGACGGGTGTATAGTGGAAGAGCTGCTATCTGCAGATTCAGCACTAGCGGCTGTGTGACCTAAATTCCCTAAATCCCAGACGTTTTGTTGACCTAGTTGCCTGACTCATCAGTTAGAAATTATAACAAGACAGAAAGATTTATTTTCAATACAATGCTTTAATAATGTAATGTACAAATGAGAGGACACAGAAATATTCCGTCACACTGGTCACTTCGGAATGTCTCTAACTTATATACTGGCATTTGGTAACAATCTGTCATGATATAGTTAAAATGGAGGGAAACATTTTGAGGAGTTATGTGACATTACTGAGTTACCCCCTCCCCCTTTTTGTATGTCGACTTTACAAAAGTTACATTTATCCCATCAGTGCCTTGTTTCTAGGCAGAAACAAATATCAACTAAAAAAAAGTTCTAAATGTCAAGAATTTTGAAAAAAGAGTGTTCGATGTCAGTCATGTTTTCTTTTCTCAACAGTGGAAGACAAATAAAGTAATGTAAATCAGAGATGCACCAAATAAACAACCCACACCATGGATCTGAATACAAAATGTTTCCTTCGCTTCTTTTACATCTACAGGACAGATTAAATAAGTATGTGACTAAATCAGTTAATTGTCCCCCAGAACTCAACATACAACATTAGACAATCATCAAGTTATACATTGTTCTGGACATCTCTGAGGTAGACCTTAAAAATAAATTGTAAACTCCTCGTTTTGGTTTTTTCCCTATACCAAAATTAAGAACAGTCAATGTGTAATTCTGCCTACAGTGAATATTTGAGCGACTCAGAAAAAAAAGATCAAACACAAACCTTTACACTATAAAAAGCAAAAAATCACAAGCAATTTATACATATTGATAAAAAAGGGAGGAAAAAAACATACATTATATTATGAACATATTCTGGACAGATTATCATTGTATTATATTACTTACTGGCCCTTAATGGGGTCTACTGTTTACACGTCAAAAAAAGCATTCAAGTATAGTGTTTTGTCATGCATACACAATATATAAATATTGAGATCAGTCAATGTATTCATGGAGAACACTTACACATTATTATATATATATAAAAAAAATGTTGAGGTTTTTATTGGCTTGCGTTCCATGTGGCAGTGTCCTTGACAGGAACAGGTTTGACCTTGATAAAAACATCTCAACATGAAGTAATGAAAGATGAATCTTCTATGCCTGCATTTGATGCCAGTCATAAACACTCATAAGTCACATTGTCACATGTGGCAATGGCAGGGGCTGCTTTAGCAACTCAATGATATTTTTTTTTTTGTTCATTTCATAATTACTTAAAAAGTATAAATATAAATAGTTGGCAACATTTGCTTTTTTTCAATATAAAAAGAGGGGAAGAATTAAGTTCTACACTTAAATAATCATAAAAAAACAGTCAGACAGACTGACACAATGATAATGCAACTCAAACAATTACTGGGGAATTTACCCTGAGAAAAAAATATATCCCTGATTAAATCAAAGGAAAATAAAGCAAATCTCATCCACGCTCATCAAAAAGCTGAGAAATGTAGATTCAGCTAGCACACAGACATTTTACTTTGTCAAAACATGGAACCTTACTCCATTTTTTCCCATATTTAGATATAAATGATAAAGGTTAATTAAGTACAACATGCATATAGTTTCAATGGGGAAAAAAGGGCCATCCAAACTATGATGTGGGGGAAATATTTCATATCCTGTAGGTCAAGTATACACATGTGACTGGTGTGAACATCTCATCAACGAGTTTGGAAAATAATAAGAGAAAGATCCAACATTCATTTGTTCAGAAATTGAAATATATCACCAATTTTCAAAACTTTGTACACACAATGATAAACTGCCAAAATTCTCTTGACTATTTTTGAGAAATTCTTGGATCCTCCTCCTACATTCAACATGTGACAACAATAGGTTATATTTTCTAGAGGTAAGAATATTAAGAAAGACATGCATTCTATTTATAACTACGAATATTAATATATCTGACTCTATAAATATCTGACATAATGAAACATTAAGATCGCTTAAACTCTTTCTGTAAATAGCGACCACAAAACTTAACAAGATACACTTTTTCTTCCAATGCGTAATGTGTTGTTCATTAATTAAAATTTTCCAAAGGAAAGTCATTTTTCAGGTTTCATATAGCGAACCACAGAAATCAATTATCTGTTAATTATATAAATTACATAACAGGGTTGTACAACACACACTACATTTATACAATATATATTATACTAAAATCATTTGCCCAGTGTCAGATTTTTGGGGAGGGAGTGCAATGGAATTCAAAACCTTCCTGATTCTAAAAGTTTTACAAAAAGAGACCTTTTTTTCCTGAAAGATGCCGAGATTACAACTGAGCAAATGATTTCTGGCCAAATTTATTTACACCGGTCAGTCTAATCACAGGAATCAACACTCATATCCTAACATTACAACACTCTAAGTGATATGCACCTGTACAAAATGAATCTTAATTAACATAAGAAAAAAAACACCTGATTTTATATCTAGGGGGTTTGCGGTGGTCATTAAAAGCAACTCTGAATGTTCAAATAATAAAAAAAAATGACAGCACCAGATGATAAACTGTGCATATAATGCCTTGCAATAAATGTATAAAGGTGAAAATGACAAACTTGTGTCAAAAACACATTCAAAATGTTTTGCAAAATAAGAAATGTATGAAAGCAGAATAATTTACTGTAGCCGTAACTTCCTTACAAGGTTAAAATCATAACTTCCCCATAGTAGATCCTCCAATGAAATATTTTCTTTTTAACTCAAGTCTTCCTGGATAAAAAATCTTACAATTGTATTTATATAAAGCAAGAAGTAAAGCAATACAAAATACGGTTAAGAGTTGTTGATGTTTTAACTAAAAAAAGGAAATAAAATAATTTTTCATCAAAAATAAATTACAAGCGTTCATTTGAATTGATTAAATCCAGTACAGTTAATCTCCAATTTTGACCCTAGTGCATTAATCTTCAATTTTGACCCTAGTGCATTAATCTCCAATTTTGACCCCTTCTGTGAAATGTTCTTTGGTTGAGTATTGTAATGGGACAAGAGAAGAACAACCAAATGTTTGAACAGCAAGAAAAAAACAATAAATTGCATGTGGGATATTTCCTTTGCAAATAAATAATGATTGACAAATAACTTTATACAACAATATATACAAGTACTTGGCACATCAGTACCATGTTATAAATAATAATAAATATATTATAACATCATTTTTATGACATTTCATTTCCACAATGACGAGGACATTTATTTTTGTGCGATATTGGAACTTGTCAGTGGTAAATTGAAACATCATAAAAGTGACCTTCATATTTTTAAAAAAAAATACAATAAAAATGTTACTTTCCCTTTTTTCATGACCACTATGTCCAAAAACACAAATGTGGATGACCATGAACTGTGTTGTTAAAATTACCATGGAAACAACAGAGAAAAAATGCCTGATGATGATGGGATATATAATTAATATTACGTTAGGTACAAGTGTACTAATAAAAATATCAGTATCAAATTACAGAGTAAAATTTGGTTGTAAAAAGTCCTTGTAATATATATATATGGTATGTAACATATATAAATGAGCATTTTGGCAATAAGTAATCGAAACACTTTCATCAGGCATTCACTGCATTGTGGAAATTTTCTCATCGCTGCTGCATCATTTGCTGCATGTATCCATGTAATAGATCACTGTGGATCACAAGGTCATTGTTATGTGTTGACTTCCCAAGGCGAAGGCTTCTACGACTATAAATGTCCTGACTAGAGCCGTCAAGCCACTTTGGTCTGGAATCAAATAGTTCACCTTTATACACTAAAGGCTCTCAGTTCTTGAGTATAGGTTTATAATCATACAGATCTTTATTCTTTAAAATTTCACTTAAACCATCATTCACACTTTTATGCACCATTTGTCCAATTTTTTGCACAAAATTAAATAAATTAATTCTCACTTTCACTACACACATAAATACAAACACTCATCCATTTTCAACACTGATATTTCAAAATTTTTGCTGCACTTCTTGGCAAGATAATAATATCCACCATGGAGAGATAGATCATTTTGCAGAGACTAAGTTCACTGTGATTTAACACTCCATGGCTAGGGGTGGAGGTTGGGCGAATGCATCTGAACACTTGAACTCTGTAAGAGAGAGCGCAGCACTGTTTTCCAGTGACGGTATACTGTCCATATCATTCTCCACACAGGAGGTGTCCAGGAATTCCGTTTCTCCGAAGCTGTTTGTACTGGAATTGCTCTCGGTATCGTCCGTGGACTGGCTCCGCCTGATCTCTCCACCGCGGCGGTTCCTGTTCTTGTGGCAGCTGAAGCAGGGGTGTAATAGCTGGGGGTCCACCAAGACCTCACCATTCAGTCCCTTGAATATTGTGCCACAGCAGACTTCTGTCCTGAAATACCAAAAACAGAAATATGATTCCAGGTGAAAAAAAAAATATCTAAAGTATTTGGTGAATTTCTTTTCTACATTTATTTAACAGATCATTTTATGTATATGTGCTTTTAATGTATGGGTACATAAATTTTTGATGCATTATCTTAAGTATAAAGGAATATAAATATTTATGAACCATAGCTTCTTTCTCAAGTCAAGGCTTTGTTATATTTTATTAATTTGTGCCCTACTTTTTCCAGTAGCTGAGATCGAGGAATGGACTGATGCGTGGGTCGGTCTGCTTCCTTTTATTCTTACGCTGACAATTCTCCTGACTCTCCTCCGGCTCCGATTCCTCACTCTCACTGCCCTCAAACTCATCTTTGTCACAGCTATCTTCATTCACTACAAAGTGTCAGATCAAACGCTTGATTAACCCAGCCATTAGGACTCTTAACCACAATATTCAGAAATTAAAATCACCTTGTCAATTCACTCATCCTGTAAATGATCAGTTCTTTTGAAGTTAAAATTCATCTTTTATTATTTCAGTGCAGATGCTCATGAATATTTGTGAACTTTTATTCAAAGGTATTACAAAAAAACACTTCTAAGGTATTGCATTCATGTAATAATGTAATCAAAGCTGCATACTGGAGTCTGAAACAATCCCCTGGTGTGCTAATACTCTATTGATTTCCATTTGTCGGGTTATATCATTAACCAATCAGAGAGTAACCAACAGACAGTGTACCTGCGTGCCTCCTTTGTTATCCCTGGGCTCTCCAACATTCCCTATTAAACAGTCATGTACAAACATAACCTCCTGACACCAGATAACTGACCAATAAATACTCAGTATATATAGAATTTCTATCAGACTGTCCGGGGCCTATACTGAGTATACCCAGGTCACATCTGGTCAAATCAATGTTTATGGCCAATTCCCTAGTAGATAGTTCTGAACCATTTAACCTCAAGTCTACAGGAGAACTCAGAAAATGACCAAATGTTGGAATGCCACATGGACAGGAAATAGTTGAAAGAGAGGAAAAATAAACCAATGGGGGTCAAGTTTAGAGCTCTGCTCCCTAGCTCTGCACTGACAGTTAGATTCCTTCTGTGTGTAATTAGGTCAGATTTAGTATAAAATACCTGACCTGTGCTGAACTTTTGACCATACATTGACCAAGGTGCAATATGTTGAAGTTGACCATATCTTCATTTAATATGTTGAAGCTTAAGATAATTTAACAAGTCTCATAGATTTAACCTGACAGTATTTTGAAGTACAATTTTACCTTTAGAAAGCATTTTCATAACATACCCTTCTCCCCCTCCATCAATGCTTTTTAAAATATTTTTTAAAGCAATGAACAAATGAAAAACAAATCTATATACTAATATGCAGCAAATTCCATACCAAATAAAAATATTCAAACCATAGGTTTATAAAAGAAAGATTTTTTTGCACATGAAATTACTTTTTCCAAATATTTGTATTTGCTCTTTTCCCAGCTAATTTAATTATGGAGGAGAACTTCTTTAGCACATTAAAGCTTTTATAGATGAGTAACCAGCTGTAAGCCACCAAACATAAACATCTGTTCAAATCTTGACAACACAAAAAAAAATATTCTGTTGAAAACACACTTGGAACCATTTTGATCAGATCTTCATTCAGTATCTTATTATGAAATGCTCTTGCTCAGCTAGCACCTCTCATCTCCCTATACTGGAAAAAAAAAATTACCCCAGGGGATAACATACACACATACATACACCTGATTCTTACACAATAAAAGACCCCTCTCCACAAGATAGCTCAAACAAAGAATTAAAAACAGCAGATGTTAACAGGAATTTGCAAAGTAAGACAGAGTAAAAGTATGTGGGTCATTGAAGACATGGGAATTACTATAAAAGGCAAGGTGTGGGGGTGGGGGGTAATCAGCTGATCTGCTAATCAGCTGATGAATATCCTGCAGACACACACACTGACCATATGCTACACAGCAGGAAGTCTCCATACACAAGCTTGTCAGACAAGATTAGTAAAACCTAAATCCATCCTGATTCCTGTTTTAACCCTCTCTAGCCTACGTCATACTAAACTTGCTATTGCACCTTCACAATAACCATACATCAAATGAGTCAAAGGTAGATGACTAAATCTGTACTCCTTCATGTGACACTATTAAATCTATGTGTAAAGTATATTTTTCACTTTTTTTTTACTGGTAATAATGCAAAATTTCTCTTTTCTTTGTTTGATTTAATAAGTCTGACACCCTTTTACTCTTTAACAACATGTGTGAGAAAAGGATCAAAAGAATGTGAATATGTCAAATATCTAGTGTTCAGCCCACTTTCAGAGCTCCGTCCTAGTCTGGGAGACCAGAACCTACTGCTAGCTGACCTAGATTCTTTGTTCAGCTTCATAAAGAGAAAAATCAATTTTAACAAGCTTTAAGGTATTGTCTGTTACTTTTTGGAAGCTAACCACACTCAAACAGAGTATAAGGATCAATACTCGTAATGATTTTGTGGTACTTGATGGGAACCTGGGTCAGGAAAAATTGGATCAAATTGCTCATAAACTGCAAATAAATCAATGCTTCATTTAAGTACTTAAATTTCACTTCCCAATGGCCGTTTAAAAAAATACTATGTACACAATTTAAGAGGATGTCAAATGGATAAACAGCATTTCCTTTGGTCAAAATGGACACAAAAATCTGTGGCTTGTAAGTTACAAATACACTCATAATTAGACATCATAAAAAAACATTCTTTTACACAGTATGCAATGCACACAATGTATGCATGTAATACATATATTTGTCAATGGGATGGAAGATAATTGTAAGCTGAAATAAAAGAAGAGGGGGTGGGCATGAGGGTGCTTTGTGATTGTCTGTCTTCATGCCAGAAGGATATCTAATGGCATCCTCCAGATAGGATAATTAATTCATAAATGAACTTGGTCAACCCACTGTGGGTATTCTGAATACCACATTAGTGGTAATCGAGGAGGTTTGATATACCATTTCATCAATTTGTCTGTGTCCTAGTTAATCATTTGCATATTAGAACGCAGTTATCAGACAATGATACTGTTATAAACCATGTGCTAATCAATTAATTTAAAGTGTTTACTGCAGTTGAGAAAAAAAGAAATCATGGTTTACCTAAGTGTTTAAATCAATTTGTTACAGTGACATTTGACAAGGACAAAACTTCATTGTGGTCCTTAGTCAATAACACAGAAAAGTAAATCCTGGTAAAGACAGTAAACATCACAACCTTTCTTGACCTTGAAACAAGTGCAAAGAAAAGAGGGATACATATTTCTGTAAAATATATGGATATACCTTTGGTGTTTGTTTTCAACTTTAAAAATGATAAGTTTTTCCAAGCTAATATTATTTATGATTCACTGAGAAGGAATGGAACCACACAAGCTATACAAGCAGTGTGGTGAAGAGTTTCATGACTGAACCAGAGATATTATGGAGATAGAGTAGTTGTTTGATGTAACTGTATGATAGAGAGGGAATGTTGGGAGGGAGGAGGGGGGGTGTTTTGACATGATTCTCGTACCTGAGATGTCATATAGAGAGCTGGGAATGCTGTTAGGGTAGAGCTTCTTGGACTTGAGTGGAGACTTGTATTTACTGCTGGTGGGGCTCTTGTTGTTCTTAATCTTCATTGAGGACTTAATTCCTGGGCCTGCTCTTGCGTCCACCACCTACAAACATACAAATGATAGGTATCATTACTGATGTCACCACTTAGACTACAATATCTTGATGAAAAATAATTAACAAGGCACTACCTATTCAAATACACTTCATTTGTTACAGTAATAAAGCACAAAATCAAACACGTTTCTTCTCTCTGTTATATGTCAATTAAATAATTCCGACCTCCAGTCATGCTCTGGTAATTTTTAAGGACAATGAATTTGTTCATTTGCTTATATAAAATTAAAAAAGTATCTACTTTGGAACACACAATCAATTTAATAATTAGACAAAAGAGAAGACACAGAGTGGGAGAGTGGTGCCTGTACTTCTAAGCTTCTGGCTAGAACCAGCGAATCATATCGAACATTGGCCAGGTCGCCGTGTCAGTCCATGAGGTTCTTTACCCCATCAATCCATTCAATTGCAAAATGAATTCTTCCCGTGACGTTCGGGGCTGTACTAAGCACATTCACAGCTGACTTGCTGTCAGTAACCGATTATATTAATGAAGGAGGGATTTTTTTTGTGAGGAGTGCATGTTTTATTGACTATCCGGTCATTGCCTGCATGATTAAAACATTGATTATTACATTAAATCCCATATAGTTTTCTATAAAATATAGGCCAGTAAAGGAACTCTATCAAATAAACAATGCCAACTTAAGAAAGCATGAACTACTGCATATATATACACTTTTATCTCATTAAGTCTGAGCCGTAACATTAAGTCATTGACCTAGCGGATCTTCACACTAGTTCTAAAGGACACTTCCCCTCAACAATCGGACAGAAAAAATCTACCTTTGTTAGAATGTTATCTATACTTTTTAGTATTGTATTATTGATCAAAGTTATCATGATATACTGGGAAACTATGATGACCCCCTTCACTTATCAACATGTTAATGATTACATTACTTCCTGAATTTTGATCGGTAATACTCAGAAAAATAAATCACATTTGGACCGATGGGAAGCACACATCATGTGACTACATTTTAGGTAACTTAGTTAGTCTTTATTACTATTTCTTAGGCAAATGGTCTGTAAGATTACAGTGACATTTTGTTCAGGAGTTAGCTCTGAATTGTACTTGTGCCCTTTCCTGTTTGTGTTTTTCATTTAATATCAATGGGAGTGCTTCTTTTTCCTCATACCATACAAAACCCTGCAGTTCAAAACATGATTTTTTTTATTTTGATGTCATGGCATGTTCTAGTAATTTGGGCTGCTGGAGGCAAAATATTATAAAAATGTAACTGTGTGATAAATGTCCTGAGTGGACATATTAAGTGATTTGTGGGTAGGGTAACCTGTCAGACTGGCTACAAATACCTGCACACACCTTGTCAAATACTACCCCCAGGTCACAGGTCAAAGTTCTAGCACTAACATAACCACATGGCAGCCTTATAGAAGGCCTTCTAACAAACGACTAACAAGATCAATGAACTCATTAACCTAATCCACTGATCTGGTTAAACACTTATCTCATCTTTTTCAAAAAATATTCTTCCTACATTATTCTAGCTCTTGTAATACCCTTGGGGAAACTTAATTGACTTCAGGCTGCGATCAATATTTGTTTAGCCTAAAAGCACAGAACAGAGATGAAAAGAATCTCCTAACTTATCAACTCAATGAAGACCCACACACATCACATATGGTAATGTTTTGCCTTTCATAAACTATGTAACACTCCAATCAATGACCTACATTTTTGTATTACACACACATCTGTTGGGATAACATTACAGAATAAAGCTGTAGATATCAGCTGATTAATTAATAATTAGACACTCTTCCATTCTGTGGAGGAATCGTGAGTCACAAAGGAATGTGTGTCACAACACTTCACAAAATCACAGTATCATATTCATGTGTTATTTCACAGATCAGGTAAACGGTCTGATCGAACAGGGAAAACAAAATCGATTCTCTCTGGTTTGAACTGAGTCCCCTGTCTGATAATGTGGCAGTCTGTACTCCCACACAAAAATTTCAAAAATAAGTATATTTTTAAAACCTCTTGGCTTCTAATTTCATCAAATGAGTCATAACTTTGAACTTCGAATATCTCCATTTCCCATAACTATTGAAAAAACCTAGCTGCATAAGTCAGCATATCGTATTCACAAACTGAGATACTTTTCTGCAGAGTAGTTCGTCAAATGTCGACAAGTGCATTATTCAAATGGCATGCCAGCCAGAATTTATACAATGCACTTAATGTTCTTACACAAAAAGGTAAATTCTAAAATTAATTCAAAAGTCTTTTTTTTTCATTGGGGGGAAACAGTTTTCCTGAATTAGACATTTGTGAGTAAACCATAGTATATAAATAGATGTTTGACCTATTAAATGTTATTAGCAAAAAGAATTCATGCCCAGACAGCTAGGAGACAGGCAGTGCAAAAAAGGAAAAGCGAATTCTTGATAACAAGTTGACCTACTTATCGGAATAGACCATGGAGTTTAAACTTGTTAAAGGTAATACCCTGGGTGTGCCTATTTGTATAGACACCCACTCACACAAAAATGCTATTGACTAAATCAAACTCACATGGTGCCAATGTCTGCTGGTTCCTTCTGGTAACTTCTTCCACCTTTTTACCAACAGGACACATGCATTGCATATCTCCCCTGCCCTCTTTTCACGAATACGGAAGCACTTTTCAAATTCACATTCATATCTTTTACTGTCTGTGAATCGTGAACTGGAGGACTTGGCTCGACAAATACAGCATCCATTAATGCTTCTGTATATTTTGGGTTTATGAAAACTGAACATCTTTCTGTCACTGAAAAAAAAAAAATGTGTCACTATTTAAAAAATGTCACTCATATACATATTTAGGTCAAAGAACGCTGTCACACTTAGAAGGTACATGGTAGGTAACTAAAGTTCACTGCGGTAGTTGACTTACTGGGAATTCTCACTGAGGAGAAAGATCTCATAAATAGAAATAAATCAATATCAAATGACTGCATTTAACAAGTCCCTGTCAAACGAGTACATATTCAGTCTATCACTTTGATCAAAGCTAATTTAAAGATTTTATAAAGTTCTACATAATTTTCCTTTGCAAATTATCACACATGTCAGATAATGATAAATTAAAAATATGTAATACACAGTACTTCAGAAACTGGTGTTTGCTGTGACATTGTATCTACCATCAAAGCCCTTCATTCAATTCTTTCCTGTTCAATACTCAGTTCCTGTGTGTTTATGACATCATGAACTAATCACAAGTATCAAATTTTTAAAATTAAATTATACTAAATTTAATATAGATAAAATTAATTAATTTACCTCAAAAGAAAATCATGAAAGTCCTAAATATTAATACAAAATTCACGTTTCGTTTCCTCACTCTTTTAAATTATATCCAAAGTGTCATTCCCTGGTCTTACCACTAACAGTTGTGAATCCTCGTAAAAGGGATTCAAGTGATATGTACTTGTCAATGAATACGACACCTGTGTACTAATCATGTCACTGACCACTGAGGTCACGGTTCACTTGCTTTTCCTATTTTGGGACAAAGGAATTTCTTAGATCTGAGTTGGCGCAGACTCACTGAAATCGTGCACATACATGTGCCGCTTACTTATCCGTGTTTCGCAGAAAAAACAAAAAATATAAATCAAACTCGTCATAAAAAGATTATTTTTACGTGAAATAATTATTGTCAATCAAAATAGTGTGGTAAAAAATGACTGTCAGTGTCATTATAAGTATTTTTCATTGAATTTCTGGTATCCATTGAATAGCGTACACTCCTTACCAAATGGGTCAAAGAAAACGCCGGTGGAAACACATTAATTTTTAAATAACATATGACAAAAATCAATTCAACCAAGTATTTAGACTGTTTCTAATCATCAAAATAAAAATTAAGACACATACCCGATTATTTGTGAACTGTCAGTTACGGTATTCTCCCGCACGTTGAAACTATCCTCTGTTGAACTGAGTTATCAGTTGCTCAATGAATGCGCATGCCAAGAGGAGCTTTTGTTATGCAAACGAGGTCGAGCGGAAAATGCCGAAGTTACTCCTTTGGGATATAAAATTTCAAGTGCCGTAAAAAGTTATGAAAGTATAAATTTTAGCAAAGTTTTTTTGCCTTAAGGTATCAATTAAAGAAAACATGTTTTGAATTGCATTTTTATATTTTTTTTTAAAATATCTCGCGAGAATACCGATTTCGATCAAGAAAGAGACGCCATTTTGGTACAGTTTATCTCGATTCCCGCTTGTGAAGATGAGAAATTGACAAGTTTTAGGAACTAGTTGCACACTTTAATATTTTATTTCTTTAGTTTAACAATGTATGCTATTTAATGCTACTTTGCAAACTGTTTTTATGACACATGTGTCCATAAAGCTAAGTAACTCGTGTAAAGTGATGAACCCTAGTTGAGTGCCCTCTTGAACTAGTATATATTTTCTTCAGAAAGTATTTATTGATAGGGTGAGTAACAATTTGAGAAGGTTATTTTCATGATTATATTTAATTGGTTTATTTCTTGTGATCGACAATACTTTCTGGATATCAAGGGATACTTGTCTTCAAGGTCATTAAAATAATGTTGTCATGTCATGCAGTAGGCCCCTTATTTTTTAAAGACTTCATTAACTTATTTTTCGGTAATAAACATAAGAATAATCTGTAAAATTGTACATATTTCTTCTTTTAGAAAATCTTGATTGTAGTTTCATTTTAGAAGAATCATGTGATTGATTACAATAGAAGTAAAACTGAAAGTAGCTGTACCAATGTAACACAAACAAATTTGCAGTCCAAATGAGTATTTGAACAGTTGACATTAGTATAAATCTGCATTATTGACATGACACAGTTCTCCATCAAATCATCAGCATCGAAATTAGCAATGAAACAATTTAGACTGTGCACTTCTTTGAATGAAGCATCGTTGATTCGTGATTGAATTTGAAACTGCATAATATCCATAATGAAAAAGGAATTTGTACTGTAATAAATAAATGATTTATGAAAAAGGAATTTGTACTATAATAAATAAATGATTTATGAGCACCAACTTCACTGAAGTGGTTTTATTTCCAGGAATGGTTTTAGTTATTTAATGGATATTCATCCCAAGTTATTAACTTTTATAAGTTAAAAATATTATTAACTTTTATAAGTTAAAAATATTATTCATTTCGATAAGTTAAAAAAAGTATTTATTTAATATTCAAATTGGTAAAGTCCTAGAAAAACACTGAAAATGAAAACAAACAAACCATGTATTAACTGATAACAGTTCTGAAGGGCAATGCCATACAGATTGTATTATTTCCAGAAATATTATTGCATGAAACATTTCATATTCATAAAAAAAAATTGAATTTGCATTCAAGATATACACTTGACTGTATCATGCTGTATGTCATATAAATCCTTAATTTAATACATGTTCTTTTATTTCAATTTTCCAGCTTTCAACATGTTTTGGAAGTTTAATCTTATAACTACCTCCCATATTGACACGATTCTGGAAAAAGAGGTAAATATTACTGAATGCACTGACCTGTCAACTTATGTTTATTTCATATCCTGATCCTGATAAAAATCATTTTTCATTGTATCCTTATTTTAGGATGTCACCTTGCAAGAGCTTATGGACGAAGAAGACATTCTTCAAGAATGTAAATCACAGAATACGAAGTTGATTGAATTGTAAGCTTTCATATTTAGTATTCAATTTATCAGAAAAAAAACTTTTAAAGACTTTTTATTGAATGATGTATCATTGCACATTTCATTGTTCTATTTTTAACCCAGTATAACAAAACCAGAAAACATGGAGGAAATGGTGAAGTTAATAACAGTAGAGCCAACCGATTCAGATGATGAGAAACTCAGATACAAGTAAAAGTTGACTCTCTGTCCTCTCAAATAAAATTACATTGTTAAAATTAGAAGAATATAGTCATTTAGAACATCAAAATACATTTAATTAAATTTTCCTCTGAATTGTTGATCTGCATATTGCCTAATGATTTCTTGATGATCTTTCAAACAGATACCCAAACACTGCCTGTGAGCTGTTGACATCTGATGTGTCACAAATCAACGATGCCCTCGCTGACAATGAAGAGTTGGTCAAAAAACTGTATGCATTCTTGGAAATGGAAAAACCATTGAACCCTTTATTGGCCAGTTTCTTCAGTAAAGTCATGGGGTTGCTGATCACAAGGAAAAGTGAAATGGTATGGATTACTGAGCAGCATACAGACACTGAATTTGATTTTCTTAAGTATTAAGTGGTCATGTCAGGGATCTAAAAAAAATTTTATAACTCACTTGCCCAAGGGCAAGTGATACAATAAATTTCACTTACCCGCCTAAAAAATTCACTTGCCCAACAAAAACGTGAAAACAATCAATTTTAAGATTTTATTGACATTATGTTTACATATCCAATTACAGGATAATATTTTTCCCATGCTTCAAATATGGGAATATTTTCCTCCAATTAAAATATTTATGCTTTTTATGTCTCTGATATACTGTACTACAAATATTAATATACCATATTGCATTGTATTTTTATGTCTATAGATATTAGTGTTGTCAAATCGGTTGAAAATCAGAATCGATTAATCGGTAGCATCGGTTGACCCTAACCAACTGATCATCGGCCAATAATTGAATCGGTAACCCTTTGCATAAAATACGCATTATATTTATATAAAATTTAGAATTTTATTTTTAAATAATGTAAGTTAAATGTGCAGTGTACAGATCAAAATTCTAAAAACAGTATATATATATATATGCAGTTTGATTAACAATTTCAGTAATACAGATTTTTGCATGATTAGGAATAACATAAGCATTGACAGATCAGGTTTTAATTTACATGATTATCTAAAATATATATGGAATTAATTTTTAAACTGTTTTAAGACATTTAATATTGCAAATCCTTGTGATTCCCCATGAAATGAAAAGTGAATTCCCCCAAATACTGAAAACTAATGTATTTCATCTATACAAGTAGTTGACTTTTTTCAGTTTAGAAATACAATTATCATTATCTAATGACTTATTTTAAACAGATTTTAAGTACATGTATTTTAAAATAGGTGGTAAAGGACAACGCTTGGAAGATATATATATTTTGATAACAAGAGTCTGTTCTTCAAATAAAAGTGAGAAAACTATAAAAAAAAAAAAAAAAAAAGATATGTTCTGATATATACCGATTAATCGATTGTTAAAATCTCAAATCGATTGTCTAAAATCGACAGCCTTTCCGACCGATCATCGATTATAAATCGATCATCGTGACAACACTAATAGATATATTAATGCGCTGTATGCTATATTGAATTATATTTTTAAAGTTAATATTTATTTTTCAGTGGATTGTAACATTTATTTCGTTAATTCTAACCTTAATCATTTAAATTTCAAGAGTTATAGCCCTCAAATCACGTTCGTATCAATTCCGGGAAATCGAAAGTGCACCGTGTTTGGTTTTTCATTTATACAGCAAAAAAGTATTTCCGGTAGTGATAATGTACATTTAGATTGACGGGAAACTTCATACCGCTTCACACAGCTTACTAGCTAAGTAAATTCAAATGAATTTTCAGTCAAAACTTGTGAAAAGAACAACTTTCAACAACATAAGTGTCTACTGACATTTTTTTTTTCACTTTCCCGAATGGGTGAGCATGACCCACGATCGTACTTTCCCGTACGAATTTTTACTCACCCTGGGCAACGGGAAAGCGTAATTCTAGACCCCTGCATGTCTTCTCTGAATTTTTTTGTTATAAAACAAGAAAATGTTGAAGACTGAAAAACTCTATCCCCACATTTTTTTTTATAAATATGTACATCGAGATAATAAAAAGTGTCTCTTTCTTCCAATTAGATATTTAACTTCCTAAAATCCCAGGAAGATTTTGTGGGAACATTACTGGACCATATAGGCACTTCAGCTATAATGGACCTTCTTCTGAGACTGTTAACCTGTGTGGAGTGGGTGGAACTTAGGAAGGCAGTCATTGAGGTAAAGAATATTTTAAGAACAGTGAAGTAATTATCATTACTTACAGGACTAGGAAGAAGTGATGAAATTACCCTTTTATAGAAGAGCTTGAAATACTTATTCTAATTTTAAAAAAAAATGAATTGGTTGCTTGATATTGAATATGTACCAAGTGAAGAATTTTTTAAGAAGCAAAAGTTGTGACCTTATTATATATATGAAAGTTACAAAAACTTCAAGAAAGAAGTAAATTCCCTTTGGTGATACATGTATTTTTTTCAAAATTTGACAAAAAGGAAAAAAATGTTTCCTTTATCCTCCTTCATCAAAGCTGATGTGAAAGAAACTTCCACATATCAAAGCTTTGCTAGCTTTTTGAAGATTTGCTTGATGAAACTTACAGATACATGTGTATTTTCCCTGGTTTGAATCAATGACAACAGACAAGACCCTAAAAAAAAAATCTTCATTGATGCATAATATAATGATTGATATGTCTTCTTTGAGAAGTATTGAATTCTTTGTGTTCACATAAGTATAGAATTTTCTGTGTTCACATAGAAAAAAAATTATTTTAACAACTATTTTTACATGGTCAGTTGTTCAAGGTAATTTCAATTGGTAAAATGATTTGGTCCTTAACTTGGCATCCATTTCGATGGAGATAATATTAGGCATTAAAAGTAAATGTACAAAAATTAAAATGTCAAGTCTGATGCCTCAAAGAGAAATTAGAAATGACAAGTTAAAATGAAGCTTTGGGATCTAAACATCTGTAGCTTTATCTTTTGAATGATAAAAAAAATATGAGAATTTCTAAAGAAAATTTTCTATTTTTATCAACAACTTTTTACTTCCATCCCCACTGAACACAATGAAGTCCCATTGTCAAAATGCTTAAAGTTGTGGACTATATCACATAATGTTTGTGTTCCTCTTCTTTTATCAGATTTATTTTTCTTTTTTTGAAAGTTTTTGTTCAGTTATGAATTTTGTATTACTATTTTCTGCGAAGTTTTATTTAATCGAAAAATGTTATCAATGTGAACTTTACATAAAACCAGTCTGATGAAAAGATAAATTTGAATTATGGCATTCAAGATGTAATCATACAAGTGTTTTCTGCAAGGAGATGGCCTATTGTAGTTCTTAAAATGCAGTACACATGGTTCACATTTTTGTTCCATTAATTGTTTTAAGGGACTTTAAAATGTTTTTGACTTTTTACAGTGGTTGAATGAAAAACAGATAGTGGAGAGACTGATTGGGTGTATTGTGCCTACTCAAGATGAAGATGTACGTAGATTTAACACAGTTTGAATTATTTCAAATACCGTATTTCTGGAAATTTTTGCTGTAGATATATTTTTAGCAAATTTGCAAGTTCATTGCATTCGCAAAAATATTTTTCTTAAAAATAAATTACCAGTAAGAAAATGTAAACAAAGCAGGGGTCATTCACAAAATTCTGAAACTTAAAAATTAATCAACAGCATTTTGACCCAAATTCGCAAAATAAAATTGACGTAAAAATTTCCAGATTTACGGTAAAGATTCTTTTCATGGGCCCTGTTGTTTCATTACTCTGTTGTTTTCTCCTGTTTTGTATCTAGGTTCACTGCAATGCAGCCCAGTCTCTCTGTGACATTGTGAGGCTCGGACGGGAGCAACTGTCACAGCTACAGGACAGAACCGAAACAGACCCTCTACTTAACACAGTGGAACAGTGAGTGTTCAACACTTCATTTACATTAAGTTTTAAAACTCGCTAAACAGGATTTAGATAGAGTATCTTTTATATGATACAGTTTAAAATTCTTATTTTGTTTTCAGAGAGGACAATGTAGCTGACCTGTTGACAAATATGTTAGACACAGGGAAGAATGAATCTGTCATAGTAAATGGATTGTCTGTGATACAAACTCTATTAGAATTTAGAAAACAAGGGTATGTATTGAAGCATCCAGAGACAGTCCTTGCTTGTATATTTTACTTAAAATCAGATTCACAAGTTTCTTCTTAATTTAATGCTTGTTAAACTTGTTAAATAATTTTCTGTATAATTATCACATCAATATATTTGAAAGAAGAAAAAATTTGGATTGCTTTGTCTTAATTTTTTTATGTTTTTTTTTTATCACAGCCCAGAAGGCTCTACAGACCAGATCACCTCACTGGATACAGATCGCCTGGCCCAGGGGGTCACTAACGTCTTACTGGCTATTACCCCCAGACTTAAAGATTTCCACAGTCTTCTGGTAGAACCCCCCAAGGTCAGTTTCAGTCAGTTGATTTATATTTTACAGTATTTCAAATACAGGTACAGAATTTAATGTTAGTTACTGTATACAGGAAATTTTCACCCAGTGTTATTTTCAAACAAATTTGCCCCATTTTAAATTCACCCAGTCATAGTATTGTTTAAAAAGTTAAAATGTATTCTTTGAATTTGCCCCTTTTTCAATTCGCCCAACCACAATGAGGGAGAAAGGAGCGAAAATTTCCTTTTATACGGTATTACTTTCAAATTATTTCTGTCACTAGACAATTGAATTTAACAAAGCATTTATTTTGCATTTACAGCAACGTTTTGAGACGATGCCAACAACCGTAGGAAATTTGGATCCTCCTCTGGGCAATACACGTCTCCAAACTGTTAGGCTTATAGCCGCAGTGGTTTTAACAAACACACATACTGTTAATGTAGAGTTAGCCAATTTAGGAACAACTAAGGTTTTACTTGTAAGTATATATATACTTAACAGGGATATTTTTCCTACAAAGTGAACTTTTATTTGTAGATGTGCAACTTAATTCTTTATGTATTTAATTATCATGATTGATTTTTTTTTACAGGATTTATTTTTTCATTATACTTGGAATAACTTTTTGCATACCCATGTAAGTCAGTGCGTAAACACTATTCTGTATAATTCTCCGGTGGAAGTCGAAGGAAAGAAAGAGCATCCACTTTTAGCTCAGGTACATGTCAATTAATGCCTTTACTATCAGTTACTCTGGAAATTCAAATTCAAAAGCATGAAATCGTAGAGACTAGTGACTATGATTTGGTAGCACTATTAAAATGATGCTTTCTTTTCCAGTTATTTTCTGACTGCAATATATTACAAAGAATTATGGATGTTTGGGAAGAAAATGACCAACAGCAGTAAGTATTTCAATCAAGCCTTGTTTATGTGTTTGAGATAATTTTCTTATCCAACTCGTAATACAAATACACTTAAATTTCTGCTTTACTTGGAGTCTTAACCAAAAAAAAAACTGCTCTCTCAAAAAATATTAGTCGTCTTATTTGAAAATTTGCATATACTTTTTGTGAATTTTTGTAGTGTTTATTTTTGCTAGTACAGATTTATAATTGTCTTTACAGAAGTGAAGATAAGGGTAAGAGAAGAGGGTACATGGGGCATCTAACAAAAATGGCAAATGATATCGTGGCTGTGATGGAAAAGGGAGAAAACTCTGATTTGGTCAAAGACTGCATTGCAGGTATATCACAAGTGCAGCAATGACATGAAGATTCTTGTGTTTAAATGATAATAAGATAGATGTGACCTTAAGTCCTAATCAATTAATATATGGAAGAGTTTTCTTAATTAGAGTAATATTTTGGATTTTAAGAATTACCAGAGGAGGTCAGGGAGAGATGGGACAATTTCCAGGCTGGTTCATTATTAGATGTCAACAAGAGGAACACCGTAGAATCTGTAAAAATGCATTACTTACATATTTTTATCTGTATTGTTATAATTAACATACATCACTTATATTTAGTAAATTAGTAATTATCATAAAAAAGAAGTAACTGTCATAAATAAAGAAAATAGGACTCAAATATAGGACAACATGGAAAAAGAACATTTATTAAATTTCTAATGTTCTAGTGTAAAACAAGCTGAAATGTGTTGTAAGCAATATTGTGTACTTTTTGTGAAGCAAGAGTGATATTATGGACTAATTTAGAGAGTTTGAGATAAATGATTTGTTGTTTTCTGTAGATGCGTGGTCGACCTTTGACTTCTAGTAGTGACGACGAAGAGAGTGATTTCCGAGACATTCCATTCCCTCAGGATGCGGCCATGCAACAGGTGGGTGTCTTATCTTTAGTTGAAGGAGCTAATTAAAGTCTATAAATGATTTAGGTGAATAGATGATGTTTATTGTTTCTTTTGGTGGTCTATTTTTTGTTAAAGTAGCTAGTTTTAGTGTAGAAATGGGGTAGACTGTTTCCTTTGATGGTAAATTTTATTGTATAGATGCTAAATTATTGGCCATTTTCTTAATGCAAGGGAATGTGAAAATTATTCATAATGGGGGAAAAGTATAAAAAGACTGAGAATATGCTCACTAATGGTCTTGATTAGATAAAAAAATTCTGTTCTGTATTTTAGAATAGAAAATTGTATGAGGTACATTTTGTGGCTTTAATAATATGTATATATCATGAGCTGGTCATTATTTCTGAAAATTTTATGCATGTATCACCATCTTCTTTCTTATTCATGTAAGGATTTCTATTTAGTCAAAACATAATTAGAATATAGCATGAAATTTGGGGGGAAAAAAGGCTCTAGTATGTATTTACTGTAAAAACAGCTAAGGTGAAATTAAGCATGAATCTCATATAGGGTGTCCAAATCTCTTAGCTATCTGCAATATCTATCAGTAGTAGTTAGCTTTCTGGCTCTCAGTTAGAATCAATCCTTCGACCTTTAAGAGGCAGGATTGAATTTGATTGGCTCGTTTATTCATCAGGCCTTCTCTGATTACCAGCTGCAACAGATGACGTCCAACTTCATCGACCAATTTGGTTTCAATGAAGAAGAGTTCCAGGAGCAAGAAGAAAAGGCTGAGTAAGTACTGGAATATTAGCCTCCTTGTTGTTTTATGTCCTTGGAGTATGTACTGCATGCAATATGTGGTCTCCTGCCTGCCTCCAGTAGACTCCTGAATTCATGTTAAGTTTATGTTTTTGTTTTCCTGTGTTATCTCTTGTGTATTTGTTGTTTTTAGGTGGTGAAGAGATGTTTTAACACTATTTTACCTGTTAAAGTCTAAGACTGAAGTCAAAGCTTTGCGTTGGTTTTATCTCCTCTTTTTAAAAAAAAACAGAAACATCCGTTTATAGTACCTGTCCTTGTTAATGACAAAGTCACTATAACTGACTTATGTTAATTTATTGGTGCAATAAAACTTCAAATCAAAGTTGATAAACTAACAGGGTTAGAGAAAAAGTGAAAAGCTCTATTCATAGTTCTCTGTAATGAGCATGTTGTCATTTCAAGTGTAGTTCATGGTAGACAACCCCTTTATTGACCAATTCCTGTGTAGAATGTCATTGTTACATATTCTAGTGTGTTGCATGTATCCTTTAGTTTGGATTCTTGAATTAAATTTTTTTTCATGTATGTAGTATACTAATAATTTTTTCAGAAACTTATTTTTTAAACATAATAACAATAGTTTAATCTGAAAGAGAAAATGATACTGATATCAAATTGAATTAAATTCTCATTTTACAGTTCACCCTTTGGGGATCGTATCTCCAGCATAGATTTCACAGTGCAAGCAGGAGATGACAATGTAAGTCAAATTATTAAAAAAGAACAATAGATAAATTAAATTTGTGTAGATAAGGCTACATAAAATTGAAATTCTGGTTCTCAGGCACGCATGCATCTGTTATGAGGTAGTCGCATTGCTGATTTTATTTGTATTTTTAATAAAATAAAAAGTTGGTATTGTGGAGACCAATCTGGAAAAAAAATTCCGTCCTTTATTTTTGAGTTGGCTCGCGTAGCGAGCTACTCCCTGTCGACATAGCCGTTTCAGAGCTGTAAATTTTTTCACGCATTCATCAAGGTGATCCATACGCCAAATATAATAGTTCTAGCAAAAAATGCTTTGGTTTGAGTGATTGAATAAACTTAAGAGGTAAAAACTGTATAAAATTTCATACTGTAACATTATTTATGCCTTCATGCTTTTAAAGAAATTTTTGATTAAATACCTGTACGATATACAATTACTGGGTATGAATATATGTTCAAGCATGTTAGGCGGATCTAATCTTCCCATCTGAAGTTTATTTATAATTTACCTAGAATACTCCCTAACACAAACACTTGCTGCTCTCATTAGCTGCAGCTAATTGTTGTTGAAAATCTATTTTTAGAATCCAGATTTGCTGTGGGAATCTTTAACCTAATAATTATTCCATAACACTGACCACTTCAGCTAGTGTGCTGAAATTCATTATAGAATCCAGTCAAAATAATACGGAAGCCCATTAGTGCCAACCTGTATTTATAAAGGAAAAGCAATATACACTTTATTTATGAACCGAACATGGATCAGACATATAATATTCAATCTCTTAAGATGCAAAATAAACTGAATATATTAAGGTATGGTGCCCAGATGTATGAAAAAGCTCAATTGACTCGAGCGAGTCAACTCGCAGGCCTTTCAGGCCTTTGATTAGTAAGTACTCAATATCTCTTCTGGTAGCCATTTGCATAGAGATTTTGGCAACTTCGTTTGAAAATACATTCAAAGACATTGCCTACGATGTTCACACGCTGATAAGCAATGGTTATAGCAAACCTTTTGATCAGAAATGGGAAGTATATCCGTGAATAAAAAAAACTATCTTTATTTCTAAGAAAGTTCGAAAATTAAACTTAAAAAAAGACCTCCTTCATCTACTTTATTGCCAATAAAATGATAAATAAAATGCCTCCCTCCCACATCTATTTTGGAGAAAATTGGTCTGAGAACCAGAGAATTAAATTTAGATAGCCTAATTGTACAAAAACATTTAGACAGGGATTAGCAAAGTCTTGGGCAATTTAAAAGTGCGATCAACTTAATTGGGATCAGAAGACTTTATGATAAATAATTTGATATCAATTGATGGACAAACACATTTTATTCTTAATCAGTTAATCGAGCAATATTCATGTCAGTTGCTACAAATTGTTACAAAGTAAGCCATTTTAATTTACAGAGTACAGCAGCCTCTATGTTTGAGCAGGCCTGCAATGAGAGAATTCAGCAGTTTGATGATAACGACAGTGATGAGGACATATGGGAAGAAAAGGAAATCACATTCTCACCTAATGCTCAGCAACCCAACCGAGCCACGTAAGTCTTAATTACACAGTTTAAACAAGTATTAGTAGCAGAATTTTCAATTAATTTTATACAGATACACTGCATATATATTTGCATGTAATTTGTTTTCATAGACGTATTCAGAAAACGAATACTTTTAATAAGTTTTTCTAGAAGACTTGCTTTTCATATAAATATGTCATGCTCATTGCTGTGACAATCTTGCGATATGGTACTTCCATTTCAGTCGGTTACCGGAGACCCGGGATGATAGTGATAGTACAGACAGTGAGGAGGAACTGGACTCCCCTCGAAAAATTGTCTCGCAGCCAAACGAAAAAATGGATGTAGATAATAGTGAAAGTAAGTCTTATCCCTCTGCTCACTAACCTTGCAGGTTTTCTATTCTACGATGTTCAAAATTTGTTCTGTTTTGGATTCAATTAATGTATTTAAGTTTAACTTACATTTTTAAAAACCTGAGTCACTCAGGTACCTTTAGCTGTAAGCTTGTTTTGTTATTAGCATGTTTGCCATAGCTTTATTTTACATTTTCAACCATCTCTGCATTATGTTTTCAACCAAATTTGGCACAAAGCATCTATGGGTGAAGGGGAACAAAAATTGTGAATTTCATGATCCCTCCTGGAGGGTGGGGCCAAAACCACTAAAATTAATGCAATCTTTAAAAATCTTCTTCTTTACACCTGGACATCAAGCAGTCAAACTGTATGCATGATTGTAATCAGCATTGGGCAGTCCTTTACCAAAATTGTGAGATTCATGGCCCTGGGGTCAGTCTTTTGCTAGTTAAGTATATAAGGAAAATGCATTATTTTTTAAAAATCTTCTTCTCTGCTCCTGGGTATTAAAAACTACTTATTAAAATTCAATTTTTATAACATATTTAAATTCAAAATTGTAAATTTTTTAACATTCAATGAAAAAACTGCTCAAAAATCTACAAAATACATTATTTCTTTGAAAATCCATTTCTTTTCTGGGTATTAAAAAATTCTAACTAAGTACATATTTATAAAATTTAATGTAATTGGAAATTTTATGGCCTCACAGGGTCACTTATTCTGGTGTTTTTCCGGGGGGCTGTATTGATTATACATGTATAAAAAAACATTAAATCTTTGAATATAGGTTCTTAATTTATATTTTTAAGCAAATGAACTACCTATATAGTTATGAGCAAACTTTTCAAAAATTGTAAATATTCAAGGCCCCAGATCAAATTTACACCATTTTTATATACTGAAAATGAATGAATTGTTTGAAATGTGCTCCTTGGTATTAATCAAATTTTTTTGAAAAGCAAGGATGCCTTTTTCTTGTGCAATGTGTGGATAAAGCCTAAGGGTCAAGGATTCCTGTGTGGTAGCGGCACTACTGATTATTGCTGAAAATTACTGATTTGTTGAAATGCATTTTTTGTTGCCTATGCCTATGGGTATTAAGTAACCAAATATGGAACTTTTTAGTTATGATTACCAAATTGTAAATGCTATAGCATCTGGCTTAAAACAAATTCAATCACTGGAAAGTTGTTGAATAATGCTCAGGTGATCTATAAGGCCCATGGGCCTCTTGTTAAAAACCACAGGGATTAAGATATTTTAGCTGTGAGCTTGAATTTGTTATTAGCATGTTTGCCATAGCTTTATTTTACTGTAACCATTCTGCATTATGTTTTCAGATTGGGCCAATTTTGATGACGTAGCAACAGAGTCTGTTCCTGTTGCTATGGATACTTCTTCCTGGAGTCAGACATCTACCTCCGCTGAAGCTTCATCATCGAGCGAAAAATCGGAGAAGTGGGCCGACTTCAGCAACAAGTTTCCCAGGGAGGAGACCAGCCGAGATAACTGGGCAGATTTTAGCAATATTAGAGATTTGTCAGCGTTAGTATTTTGCAGTCAAGATTAAAATCGGGAGATTAAGAGAAAACACTTTAATTTTTTGTGAAAAATTAATGTGATTCATTAATTTACTAATGACAGATTGTGCAGAAAATGATTTTCACCTATGAGTGATACCCAAATAACCTGGGGAAAAGTTTAATGTAAGCTGTACTCTATATTGTTAAACATATTTACCAATGATATTACATAAATGTATCAGAGGTTAAACATGTGTACTTGCAGTACTGATCCAGGACCCAGAAGTAGTTCCCCTGTAGCTATGGATACTAATGAAGTCAACTCTAGGCCTGCTGCTTACTGTAAGTATCATGCTAGAATCCAGAATAAAATTAATGATAAGGCCAAAGTTTTTATTTTTTTTTGGTTTACAATTTTCTGACACAAAAATATGCATTGGGCGGTCGAAAAATAAAAATAAAAATAATTTGGAACCTTGATATATTTTTTTCTCGAGTAGCATTGAAATGTATTCAAATAAAAATAATAAACACATAAGCAGGGACCTATATATAGTATATAGGTCCCTGACATAAGATTTTTCAACTTTATTACTTTTTTCTTACCATTCGGTTTTATGAAAAAGTCTTTGGAAACTCTGAAAGTGATGGATTGCTTTCACAACAAACTTTTTACCTTAAGATATGTGTGTCCAGGGACCAACTTAAACCCATTAAGGAGACTTCACTTCTCCCTCAAAGAAATTTAAGAAGTCTTGAAATTTAGGGAGACTTCTTGGCGTGCATACGTCATGTACGTGGCGCGCAATAATCGTTATAAAACTATTTCATTGTTTATTGTCCATAACTTACATACATTTCAATAATTTTTCTGTATAAACATTGCATTAAAAAAAAATGATTAAAAAAGAGAAAAAGAATCTTAAAAGATATTTCCCCCAATTACAAAATATATAAAATTAAATATTTAGAAAAAAAAAACAACATCGACATTAAATGAAATTTACTACTACTACTATCAAAATGTAAAAGTTTCTTATTGTCAGAATCAATTGTTTATCAAACATTTTTTTTTTTATTTCTTACATGGTTGCACAATCTTAAACATCTAAAATTATTCTTCTCATTAAGGCTATCTAAATTTAATTCCCTGGTTCTCAGGCCAATTTTCTCCAAAACAGATGCGGGAGGGCGGCGATTTATTTTTCATTTTATTGGCAATAAAGTAGATGAGGGAGGTATTTTTTTTTATTTTAATTTCTTATTTTTATTATTATTATTATTTTTTTAATCACAGATATACTTTCCATTTCTGCTTTATCCATTGCTTAACAGCGTGTAAACATCGTAGGTGATGTCCTCAAATGTATTTTCAAATGAAGTAGCCAAAATCTCATTGTAAATGGCTACCGGAAGTGATATTTGAATACTAAAGCGAAACATATGCAACACGGAAATTTTTTTCCCAATATAATTGCAAAACCAACTTTTTATTTTATTAAAAATACAATAAAATCGGCAATGCGGCTACCTCAAAACGGATGCGTGCGGGCCTGAGAACCAAGATTTCAATTTTATATGGCCTAAATGTTCAGGCTTTTGGCATGGTCATATTTTTGTTAAATTCTCTTCAAACTTGTTTTCAATATAAAATTCTTTTTTTTGATAAAAGTTTTGATGCACAATGCTTATTGAACATTATGTTTATGCATTATGTGTAACTTCAACATGGTATATAACAATTTATCAGTAAAAAATATGTCCGTATTCACAGCATGAATTAATTATTTGACAATAAAAATATCTAAAATCTTCTCCAATATCTTTGGCATGACATCAATAGCTGTCCAGCTATTTTGCGTCTTGTTGTGTTTAACTTGGTAACGACAGACTTTTTCATACCCGGAAGTGTAAAATCTAGAGGCGTTCCAACGGAGTATTCGATGCATATTGGTCATTAGTATAGAAACAGCACGAGTCCCCTGGGTTGGGTTAATGATTAAGATGTGTCGTAAATTATAAAAACAGTCATTTGGTCGATGTAAATTGACCTCTACAAGACACATTATTTTTATTTTCGTAAATAGGGAAAAATGCGTGCACGTGAAATATGTAAAAAAAAATACACTTTGAATAAACGTAATTTTTCTAAAATATGTGCATTAAATACTTTATATTTAAAAGGCCCATAAAAGTATATAGCATTTGTAACATATACTGATATGGTCTATTACGCATATGCATTCACAAATGCGCACGCGTGCAATGTTAAAGGTTTTATGAATTTGGTACACTTCAGGTAAACGTTGTTTAAGTCTCAGCAGACCTGGCAGTGGAGTTGAACAGTGAGGAGCTGAGGACAGAGGACCTGACCGAGGAGAAGGACAGCATGGTCCAGGAGGAGGAGGTGTCCTCAACATCAGACGACGCCACCTCACCCCCACAGACTCCTAGGTTATCTAACTCCTCACCCAAACAACAGGCTAGGTTAGTATCAGATGATGTCACCTCACCCAAACAACAGGCTAGGTTAGTATCAGATGATGTCACCTCACCCCCACAGACTCCGAGGTTATCTAACTCCTCACCCAAACATTTTGGCTAGGTTAGTATCAAAATACATTCAAAGACATTGCCTATGATGTTCATACTCTGATAAGCAATGGATAAAGCAAACCTTTTGAATAGACGTGGAAGGTATATCTGTGATTAAAAAAAATTATCTTTATTTTAAAGAAAGTTTGAAAATTAAAATTGAAAAATGCCTCCCTCATCTACTTTATTGCCAATAAAATGATAAATAAAATGCCTCCCTCCCACATCTGTTTTGAAGAAAATTAGCCTGAGAACAACAGGCTAGAATTGAAATTTAGATAGTCTAAATATCACTTTCAAATCTTTGACAACACTGTTACTTAGTTTATTTTGTTTATTTGTCAATTGTTCATAAAAAAGTATAATTATATACACATTAGTGTATTGTGAACATGTATGTCTCTGTCCATCTGTCTGTTAGTTTTTATGTGTCTGGCTCATATGCGATGAGGTTTATGATTATCAAATATGAAGTATAAGCTTCTCCTTTTAAAGCTAGTATACTGTGAACACTAAGTCGATATTGACAAATATTGCACAATCCTGTTGGCTCATAACTGGAAATGACCTAAAATCTGCAAACTCTTACAGTTAATGAATTTTAGAAGGTTTTTCACAATAAAATTATTAAAACATTGTATTACAAAATAAACTATCAGTGTAATAATCTCTGTTTCACTTTTACAGTTCAGAGGAGCCTGAAGAACCTTCATCTTCCACCCCCACAATTCCTGCCACCCCTCCTCCAGTTGTTGCCTCGCCCTCCCCTCAGCACACTCCTCCAGTGAGGCCCTCAGGATCAGAAGACGAGGGGAGTTCAGTGGACGCCGCCCCCTCCTCCTCTGTGGACAGGGCACCTGCTGCGGCGCCCGAGGTCTCCTGTTCCTCCTCAGACAGCTCTGTGGACGGACAGCAAGACAGGTAAACAATTATATTACAGCTTGGGGATTTTAGTTTTGTGTTTTTCTTTGTATTGCTTCAAACTTTTTTATTGCAGGACAAGGTTTCTTTGTTTAGCAAGTGAAAATAGTGATTCTGTTATCATTTTACAGATGTTTTATTTGTTCAGTTCATATGTTTTACTAACACATCTGAAAAGTAGATTTGTTAGATTAATTGAAGTGCATTTTCTTTGAGTGAATTGTTTATTGTTCTGATTTGTATTAATTAGGATTGAAGACTCCCTCAGTGATAACTTTGAGTGAGTTACAGTGTTGTGCAATGGGCCGTGTGGTACCTTGCTATATCTATATGCTGGCATTTTTTTGATTGCTGGAATTCTTGAAAACAGAGGGATTGGTATATTATCAATGGAGTTATAACACATTTAAAATAAAATTGCAGAAAGTATGATACTTTCACTAGTATAATCAAATTTTTGACAGTAATAGTCTATCTACCAAGACATTTGTCAGCACAGATTCTGCTTGTCTGAATATGAAACTTAAATCTTCACTTAATCTCTTAATCTGAGGAGAGATCTGTTTTCAAGTAAATTCTTTGCTATATATAGACTTCACTGTATGAATTACACACATCTATAAGCCTTCAAAATCAGGAGATAAAAAAAAAACATGTCATGGAAGCCTATTATTTGACATGAAATAAGTGCTTTTTTTTGGGGGGGGGGGGGGGTTACACTGTACATACATATTTTTCTAACCTGTAAGCAATGATGTATTGAGGATATTAGAGGTATATTAACAATATACATTTATATTAAGGCTTGGATAAAATTTGTGACTGCGTACATAGTGTAAATAAATACCACGCGGAAAAAAAAAAGAGTACTTCTACAGTATATTAACAATTAAAGGCATGTTTCTGCAGCAAACAGCAATCTCCTAGGTGCACAATAACAGCTAAAACCGATTGAAGGTCCCATTTAAGTATTATGAAGAACTTTCCTTTGATTTAATGAAGGCATCAGGCCAAATTTTACAAGTCCAATCTCAGCCACCCGAGTAGATAGAACTGGAAAGAAAAATGAAGTAAACAGGACATTTTAATAGCAGAAATACATTAATATTGTACTGACAACTGAAAATATCTAACAATGTGTTATTCCTCCTTATGTGTAATACAAGCACATAATTTTTTTTTAATTTTCAAGATTTCCCATACTGTTCTAGAACTTAACATGAGCTAAATTGCACCTAAGACTAATTTTTATGGAATCTTCAAAACATTAAGTTAAAGAGCAGTGAACGACTTGTAATGTAAACTGCAATGTTTAATGTCTGAGAGGCCCTCATTATATGATATTTTATGCTACTTATATTATGAATAATTTGTGTTTCATATTTTGAAAATGTGCTGAGTTCTGGGGCATTTTATCGTGTATACATTTTCATTTCATAGCTGTATTAGCTATGCCAAGCTTAACAGATGATGCTTTTTTTTCTGGCATATCTTCTGTTTAGAATACTTTGTCAATTAAATGCATAGCCATTGCTAAGACTTGTGCATTATTTGATTTCAGATTTAAAAGTAACATTCTTTTAGATTGTTGGAAAAAAAAGTATTTGAAAAAGCTTCTTATTGCTCTACATCAACTGTTAAACAAGGCATTTTTTCCACTTTCCCAGTGTATTGTAGAGATTGATGTGATTTTAGAAAAGTATAATATCATTTCCTTATTTGTTGTTATAGCTGTTGACCAAACACCTGATACATAAGGACATGCATTACAATTAAACATTATACATTGCTACTTCAATATTTACACATGTAGCTAATTTATATACTGTACAATGTATACCTAGACCACAAGGGATCTCACTGAAATGTATTATATTTATATATTACCAATCTTTCAGAATTTATACATGTTTCTCAGAGCTCCAGATAATTTTTTACCCTAAAGTGTATTTACTCCCTGATTTTCAAATCAATGCAGATTTTGATTTTCATTAAAATGATTAAAGATTATTTTATTTATATATAAATGTTTGACGTTTATTTTGATTTTGAGCTTGTAATCGAAGTAAGAGTTTTGAAGAAGGAAAAAACGTTAAAATTCGGTTACTGTATTTATTTAAATAAATTTTGCAAACACCAACAAGACTTTTTGCTATACATGTACAGTAGGTCAAGGTACCATTTTTTCCTTCGTTTATATCGTATAAAGAGTAAACTGAGAGAAAAGAATCTTCGTTAATATGGCAAGTTGAGAGAGATGAAAAATTGGCTATGATAAGAATAAAAACATTATGCCAAGTGTATAGTCTTTCTACATAGAAATGGATTTTATCTAAATCTCCCGAAATGGAGATCGTCGTCGTCATTACTAGAATATTCCTGGTCACTAAAAGGCTTTTAAATCTGTACTTCGTTTTGAGAAAAATTAAACGCGGTTAACCTCATTTCGTATCGTTAAGTAAGTCGTACCTGTATTCTTAAAATTGTTGTACGCAGTACTTTCGTGATGTGATGCGTATCTATGATTGCTAATGCGTAATTGTACGCTCTATTTTAATTTTCAATGCGTATTATGTAAAATTTAATGCGTATTTACGCAAATACGCACCTTATCTGGAGCTCTGGTTTCTTGATAAATATACACATAATGAATTTTATAATGCCCTTTATAATACAGCATGACCATTTGAATTCTTTACTATTGCAGTTTCCTGACAAATGCTGGACTGATGAAATCACCAGTTAATCTTCAGGGATCTGGGGACAAAGCCGTGGAGGCTAATGGCCCCCTCCCTGAGTCCTCCAACATCAAAGAGAATCCATCCTCCGAAACATTGTAAGTAGGTCAGCTTGAACAAAGTACTAAACTGTTGGACAATTAAATGTTTAAAAGGTTTACTGTTCAGTGGATAATGTTATTTTGTAAAGGCTGTGTGGTCAAGTTTATTATGAGGTTTCTTTTAAAAATTATTTTTACAAATCTTTTTGACTGCTCCTTTATTTTTTTAAACTGAAGCATATTTTATGTGAATTTATTTCTTTTATTGTAGAGCTCAAGCCAAAGACTCACCAGAAAAAAGTGACACTGTTTTAAGTTCAACATCACCAACACTACAGAATGGGCCCGTTTGATCTGTAGGTGTCTGTTAGAGTTGGTTTTATATAATATAATATAATGTATATGGTGTGATCAAGTCTGTCTGGCAGCGTACAGCCTTATACAACACGGCCTGTGATTGGATGTGAATGATATCTTACATGCCCTCTGATTGGATGTGAATGCTTGTGGCAGAAAACTTTTATAGAGCATGTGGGGAAAACAAGTGAAGCATTTTACAATTCATTCTATGGGACACAAACAGTATTTTTGCTGATGAGAAGTTATTCTTTGTCAACTTTATTTTATCAAGAGAATTTTGAGGCCAACTATTTTTTTTGTTTAAGATGTATAGATGTAATAAGAGAAATCAAATGAATTATTTTACAGTGTTGCAGCAGACAATACTGGTTGTAAATAAAAGTTTTTGTAAAGATATATTCCCTGTGTAGATAGTCTCAGCCAAAAGTCTGCCGTGGACTTCTATAATATTCTGTGATGTATCAAGCTACTGGTCCCGTACTTTGTCTTCTGTGATACCTATGCCTGGTCTCTGATTGTGGGGTCCAGTTAGTAACTGCACTCCTCCTACCCACGTGCATCTTCTTGATGAAACTTACTTTATGTGAAGAATTTTTGGAAGGTTTAAAAGTACAATTTAATTTTACCATATTACATTTTATTTATTAATGTACGGGTACTGAAACAGATGAAAGGGTGGCCTAATCATTGTTCTCAGTTCAATTATTTATGAAAAAGTGTGGTTTTGTGCAAGGGGGAGGGGTTTAGGGGGATGCAGCCCTGCTTTCACTAACTGGACCCCGCTCCGCCACTACCACTCAACATTGCTATATTCTACAGGTTGGTGCTTGATATATTCACAGTAATTTTCTGCATATCAAATTGAAAGACATGCTACATTTTCTGGCTTGAATCGTATCATAAATGCTTCATTATTGTACATTTAGTTTGACTATTTGAAATAATTTCATTCAAGTATTGTATTAAGGTTTTGCATTCATAGTTTTTCACCCTGTAATGCTTACTTGCAGTACCTGTACTTCACTTATAGGTTATTTAAAGGTATACAAAGAAATAATAAATGAAGAGACAATTTTCTTGGCATGTTATTGATTATTGACATCATTTCAAAAAGCAATTGTATGATACATGGAGGTTCTTCAGAGAGATAAAAATGTATTAACCTGTGTGTTCAAGAGAGAAGTAGAGAATTAGACATGTTCATGCTTTATTACATGGTATAAGAGATTAAACTTGCTAAATGGTTGCAATTCAGAGACATAATTTAAACTGTGCCACATGCATTTCCAATGCTAGGACATTGATCCACATTTGTTATCCCGGAATTTCAAACTACATGTATGGACCAAATAGAATGTGCCATAGCTATGGTCTTTTGTTTTTTGTAGTGCATTGAAATTTTGTGTTCAAGAGGCTCTGCACTTGATTTTGTTGAAAAAGATTTGTAAAGTAATGAAAGGAAAGGAAGAATCTGAATTTTAAGTTTGAAGAATTTTTATTTGCATCCATGTCATTTTTCAGAAATTGATATTTTTATCCTCCTGCACTTGTTATTCACATGAATTGCACACACTATGGTGTTTGTAAAATGCTAGATGAATTGTCAACTATGAAAGGATACCTCAATTGAACAAGATGTTCTTGCATTCACACTAGAATGTTACTCTGTTAAATGGTTGAGTTGGTATCCTTTGTAATAGTACTGTACATAACAATCAAATTTCTTTTTAGTGTATATAGATATTTTTGTATGTCATGCTGAGTGTTAGTGGCCTCAGAGGGGGGTTTATTTATTTGACTTTTAATGGTTCACGCCCAGCTCTGGGGGTCAGTCAGCTACTGTTTTAATATTACAGGTAGGATATATCATATGCAACTCTAGGCAGTAGTGTTTTTTATACCAGGGGAAAACAGTTTTATGTCATTGTCAAATCAAATATTTTGTGCAGATCATAGATTTCCAATGCAGTAACATGTACATAAAACAAAAATATATTAAAACAAACAAAATCTTTAATGCTTCTTTCTTGGTTGTATTTTCAAGGACATGAACGTGGATTTTAAGAATTGCTTGTTACCAGTATGCAAAGAATAAGCTGCAGATCTGTACCTTGCTGGTCTGAAAAAAAACCTGTATTGGGATGAATGAATGGAGACTTACAGTGGCACCTATTGAAAAATTTATTTGTTTATTGCATTGTTAGAAATACACTGTTTCTGGATATATTTGTTCTATATATTTATTAAGATGCCATCTCAAAATGTTATCAACAGTGTGTTTCGAATAATTATATTCTACTACTTCCACCATGAAATGTTTCCAAAATCGGTAGTTAATACCCAATCAGAGCCTGAAATTGAGTCCATCAATTTTTGTACCTTCCTTTGAAGAAGAGGGGGAATATTGCTTTGCTGCTGTCTGTTGGTCGGTCTGTCAGTCCACCATCAGCTTCTGTTCATTTTTTTTTGGCAGAGGTTGCACATAGGTCAATATCTAGGTCAAGTTCTGTTCGGAGTAGGATCGGGCTATTTTGGACAGAGTAATGCCCCTTGGACTTAGAAAAATTCCAATAATTGGCAGCTTCCCCCATTTTCTTTGCAGTGGTTGCACATATTGATAAAAAATAATGAATTAAAAATATTTTTTAAAAACTAGAGGTACTGTGACCACAGAGCTCATTAAATGATACCCCCGCCTCCTATATCGTTATAATGGCAAAGTCCATTTTTGCTCTGGGAGACCCGAAAGAAATGTCGGATCAAAAAGTAAAATAGGAGGTCACAATGACACCATGTAATAAAGATTCTTTGAAAGTATCATCAAATCTCATTCAGTGGTATAAAAGGAGTTGTGGATAAGAGAAGGGTATCACAAAGACTAACGGACGGACAGACGGACGGCTCAGAAGTCCACTGAACAATACAAACTTGAGAGCAGAGCAAACACACGTGCAGACCTCTTATAAACATCATAGCTGGGATCAGGACCCAACACTATATTAAAACAGTAAACATTTTGATTTTTAATATCCTAAGTTTTACAGCCTTTGTGGGTAATATGTCATTATTTATTGTTGTGTCAAATATGATGAACGCCCTTTCATATGTCATTCAAGAGTTATCATCAAAGTTTTTGGAGGTGTTTTGGAAAAGAATAGGTCAAACATGAAGGTCAAGAAGTCAGAAATCATAGCATGCTCGGAAATATTTTGCCACAGGTAATGCACCTGTCAAATATGAAAGCCCTATCTCTTCTAAATCAAAAGTCATAAGGAGCATTTCTGAAAAGTAGGTTAAACTTCGAGGTCAAGAGGTCAAAATTCATAGTTAAGAAAGGACTTTCATTGATAACATTGGCGGATCCAGAGGGGGGATTCCGGGGGTTGGAAACACCCCCCTTTTATTTTTGTACACACAGAGAGAGATAAAGAGGGAGGGAGAGAGAGATTGTGTTTTTTCTGTAATATAGATATATATATTAAATAATAATTTGAAAAAAAATACAAAAATCTCTGTCCTTTCTACTGGCTAAATCTGTAGATTTTCGTGTACATGTTTATGCTTTCCTCCGTGTACCTTCACAACCCCGGCTAAGGGCTCCGAACATCCACAAGTAACATGCAAGGAAGATTCCCGCGAACTTTAGATATACCATTTTTGGACCATCTTCAGCAGTAACTAACTTTTAGAAGTATACATAATCAATGAAGAGAAAGATTTGAAATGTTCCCGTAGTATGCAGATGGGGGGGGGGGTCATTTTTTTCTGAGAATAATCTTTTGCTGTAGTTTTCATAAATATTTTGATTTGGAAGCTCTCTCCACATTTTTTGTCGCAAGAAAATACGCAGATTCAAGCATTTGAATGTTATAAATGTACCGAACAAAAAAGTTACAGAAAGCCCCCTCTCAAAAAAAGATTTTAGAGTGTGTTGCATAGGGGTTTTTTGGTTTTTGCTTGTCAACTGTGTTTGGAGGTCACCCCTTCTTATAAGATGTAGCTACGGACTTGAAGTGGCCGTGCTGTGATTCTATGCATGAGTGCTGGGGGCACAACCTCGAACCCCCCTCCCCCTCAAAAATTGCTGGATCCGCCCCTGGGTAATAGGTCAAACGTCAAGATCAAGGTAAGGGGATAAAAAATTGTAGTGTATTTAGAAAGGTCTTAATGTCACGAGTAAAAGACACATGTGTAATATGAAAGTCCCATTCAAAAGATATGACCAAAGTTAAAGTTTTTGTGACAGACGGATAGACCTGGCAGACTTACAGACTGACAGATGAATGAGATTTAATGTCCTCTCACTTTCACGAAACGGAGGACAAGAAAGGACTTGCAAATCACACCCTAATGGTGTCATAAAGACTAGATTTACCCCTTGCCCGTTTGTTAAGTTTGTTCTTTTGAAGTGTTTTCATGTATATACGTTTGTTCTGCTAAGATGATCATTCGTTTTGCATTCATATAAATAAATACTAGTAAATAAAAGCATCCTTGGCTAATTTAGATTCAAATTTGTTTCAAGTTTAAAGTTAACTCACTTTTGAATGATTTCTTTTAAGCTGACAGACCAGCAGGAAACATATTTAGTTTACTATAGTATTTTTCTTTTTGCCCAACCAAACATTTACAGGTGAACTACCAACAAGCAAAAATTCCTTGACAAGAACAAAAAAAGTAATCCCTGATTTCCAAGGCTTTGTCACTTCATTCATCAGGCAAATTCTTAATTGTATCTCTTTTCAAACATGTATATGGTCATGTACATTCCGAGTTTTTCTACATATACACATGTAATTGTTACTGAACTGCATACTAAATACACCTCTGTACCTTATTTTGATTATATGAAATCATAAATAATTAACACTTGATTGTGTAAATAACTGACATTTATTACATTTATATGACAATTTTTTTTCAGTTTTCCTCCAAACTAGTAGCTATTCTTCTGTCCTTCCATCAAGCTTTTGTTTGTTTTCAACAAATGGATTTTTTAGCACCCTAAAAAAATTTAATACATGTACACTAAGTTAAGATAAAAAATAACCCATAAAGATTAAATAATTTTATCCACAAGCAAAATAAAAATAAAATTTGGTTTTAAGGTCATTAAGCATAAATTTTACCTTAAAATAGTCAACACCAAAGAAGAAGAGCCTTCTAGGGCCAAACAGGCCATCATCATCATCATCATCATCATCATCATCGTAATCATCATCTTCACGTTCATTATCATTGTTAATGTATTCATCAGCAATGTCTTCCTTCAGAAGCTGGGAAATGTAGAATTGTCACATTGTTATTACATACACATGTACATATAGTGTAAGGATTTCATACAACAAATATACTAGTATAAAAAAAAATTGGGAAAAGATAGCAAAGAAATATTCAATTTAGACAGGCACATCTTAAAATTTCCTTCTGCTTCAATTTATAGATTAAATAAATAATTATATAAATTTTGAAAATTTTATGTAATACCTCATGTAAAAATGATTTCTCTGTATTGATTGGAGTATCTTGATTCCTTGACACCACTAGACATTCTGGATCTGTTGATAATCCAAGGTTTGGTGACTTCATTTTCTCTGTGATAAGCTGGACTGACTTGTTCTCTGTGATAAGCTGGGCTGACTTTTCCTCTGTGATAAGCTCAGCTGACTTTTCCTCTGTGATAAGCTCGGCTGACTTTACCTCTGTGATAACCTGGGCTGACTTTTCCTCTGTGATAAGCTTGGCTGACTTTTCCTCTGTGATAAGCTTGGCTGACTTTTCCTCTTTGATAAGCTTGGCTGACTTTTTCTCTGTGATAAGCTCAGCTGACTTTTCCTCTGTCATAAGCTTGGCTGACTTTTCCTTTGTGTTAACCTGGGCTGATTTTTCCTCTGTGATAAGCTTGGCTGACTTTTCCTCTGTGATAAGCTCAGCTGACTTTTCCTCTGTGATAAGCTTGGCTGACTTTTCCTCTGTGTTAACTTTGGCTGACTTTTCCTCATTGATAAGCTTGGCTGAATTTTTCTCTGTGATAAGCTCAGCTGACTTTTCATCTGTCATAAGCTTGCCTGATTTTTCCTTTTTGTTAACCTGGGCTGATTTTTCCTCTGTGATAAGCTTTGCTGACTTTTCCTCTGGGATAAGCTGGGCTGACTTTTCCTTAGTGAGAAGCTTGGCTGACTTTTCCTCTGTGACTAGCTCAGCTGACTTTTTCTCAGTGATAAGCATGGCTGACATTTCCTCATTGATAAGCTTGGCTGACTTTTCCTCTGTGCTAACCTGGGCTGATTTTTCCTCTGAGATAAGCTCGGTTGACTTTTCCTCTGTGATAAGCTGGCTGACTTTTCCTCTGTGATAAGCTCAGCTGACTTTTCCTCTGTGATAAGCTTGGCTGACTTTTCCTCTGTGATAAGCTTAGCTGACTTTTTCTCTGTGATAAGCTGAGCTGACTTTTCCTCTGTGATAAGCTTGGCTGACTTTTCCTCTGTGTTAACTTGGACTGACTTTTCCTCATTGATAAGCTTGGCTGACTTTTCCTCTGAGAAAATCTCAGCTAACTTTTCCTCTGTGATAAGCTCAGCTGACTTTTCCTCTGTGATAAGCTTGGCTGACTTTCCCTCTTTGTTAACCTGGGCTGACTTTTCCTCAATGATAAGCTTGGCTGACTTTTCCTCTGTGATGAGCTTGGCTGACTTTTCCTCTTTGTTAAGCTTGGCTGACTTTTCCTCAGTGACAAGCTCAGCTGACTTTTCTTCTGTGATAAGCTCAGCTGCCTTTTCCTCTGTGATAAGCTTGGCTGACTTTTCCTTTGTGTTAACATGGACTGACTTTTCTTCAGTGATAAGCTTGGCTGACTTTTCCTCTGGGATAAGCTCAGCTAACTTTTCCTCAGTGATAAGCTCGGCTGACTTTTCCTCAGTGATAATCTTGGCTGACTTTTCCTCTGTGATATCTTTATCCTTTCAGTGGGAGACTTTTCCTCTGTGTTAACCTGGGCTGACTTTTGTCAGTGGATAAGCTCTCTTTTCCTCATTTTTTAATGTTCACATTCTGACTTTTTCTCTTGTGATAACCTGGGCTGACTTTTCCTTTGTGACAAGCTCAGCTGACTTTTCTTCTGGGATAAGCTGGGCTGACTTTTCTTCAGTGATAAGCTCGGCTGACTTTTCCTCTGTGATAAGCTCTGCTGACTTATTCTCTGTGATAAGCTCAGCCAACTTTTCCTCTGTCATAAGCTTGGCTGACTTTTCCTCTGGGATAAGCTGGGCTGATTTTTCTTCAGTGATAAGCTCAACTGACTTTTCCTCTGTGATAAGTTCAGCAGACTTTTTCTCTGTGATAAGCCGGGCTGACTTCTTTTCTGCTGGGATAACTTGTTTATCTGCTTTTCTCAGCTCTGCTATCTTTATCCTTTCAGTGGTAGACTGTTTTTCTGTTAGACTAGTGTTTGTAATTTGTTGGCCCTCTTTAGGAAAATCTCTCTTGTTATATATGTTCACATTCTTTCTTTGTTCTGTTGGTGGTTTGAAGATCTAAAAAATAGGTAAATAAATGTAATTTTATTGCCTTGTTTTACTGAATGCAAGAAAATAATCAGTTAAAAGAAATTCAAGAAGGAAAAAAATGTTCCTGATAAATTAATATAAACATGTATAACGTACATTTATGCATATACTCATATCTGTATGTAAGAATGAACACTTTACCTCTTGTTTTATTCTTCGAGAATAGTTTTGTCTTTTTACTGAGTTGTTTGGAAGCTTCTTTGCAACATATATCTTTTCCCTAAAAAATGAAAAGGGGTTTTTGTACTGCACTAGACACTGAAACTTAACTGACATCTGCGTATTTAATGAAGGAAAGTGTTGATATGATCAATATTGTAAACATTTTTTGCAATGATGTTTTTATTACAGTAAAACTCGTTTAGTACGAACACGGATATAGCGAATTTACGGATATAGCGAACTCATTTTGACATCCGCATATCTAATGAAGGAAAGTGTTGATACGATCAATATTGTAAACATTTTTTGCAATGATGTTTTTATTATTATATTTTCAAGTCCATAGATTTATGCAATATATTATAAACAAATTGTGGTGGCAAAAATTCAAATTAAAAAGAAAAGATTTTTATTAAAATTGTTTATTTTAAATTTAATTAATTATCTTCAGTCAGATTTTGTTTAATCCAAGTACAGAGCTATAAATTATTTACAGTACAAAATAAAAAATATTCTAATGTAACTGAAAGTAAAAAACTGTAACAATAAAATTGAATCAGTACCTGAAGTTGTCTGTCTGCTTTCTTCTATGAGTTGACTCAAGTCTGCTTCTCTCCACTCCAGTTCTCTGTCCCACAGTATTAGCTAACTGTAAATAAAACAAAAACAAAATTAGTCAAAGGCAAACAGTGGTATTTATCATTGGAATCCCCATTGAGTAAATTTGAATGGACTAAAATACCTCAGTTCTTCTTTCCTCTTCCTCAACCCTCTCTGCCCATGAATAGTCAAACTTTAAAATCTGAAGCTTTGTTCTCTGTAAGTAAAGAATAAATACTGGTACATCTACATGGGATTAATAAATAAAAGGGAACAGAATGTGAAACTTATGTCATGTAAAGGCTGATATATAATTATGTTCAGGGTTTTATTAAATTTAAATCGAGAATAATATGTAACTCCAATATCACTTACCCAGTCTTTAACAGGTTCATCGCCAAAATCTGTTTCCTCTCTGTGTAGAGAAATACAATGTTTATGTTATTGGTAATCTCAATATTTTAAAACTCTTAGAGTACATATAATTATAAAGGATTGAAATATGTCAAAACTATATGATGTGCTGATATTAGATTTGTATTTGACAATCATACCTGGCATTGTCAATGTGTTTGCTCTTTGTCTGTTCTCCTGTTATCTCTTTATTCAGCACTCTTTCCATGTCTTCTTGCTTTTGGGCCTAAAATATCAAAGAAAATAAAATGACCATGCACACTTTTACAGATAACCTTTTTTTCTATTGTTTAAAAGTGAGAGTGGCAATTACAAACTTTGTTTTATAATTGTATAATAAGTATGCCACTAGAGAAATCATTTGAATTTCAAAATAAATTTTCTTCCCTATTTTAATCATAAATTTTGTTACAAAGCTACAACATGTATATGCACTTTACTCCCTATATTCTATTATTCACCTCCACAAGTCTCTCCTGCTCTTCAAATGATAGAAACGTAAATGCATCTGCCCAACTATAAAAATAAATTTCAAGAAATCTTTAGCTTTGAATCACTAAAATAATGCAATACTGATAGTGGTTAGGATAAACAAATACTACATGAAGCTTTTTCTTTTTTGTTTTCACATATCAAATTGAAAAATAAATTAAAAAATATTAAAACGCAGAGGGGGTGATATAATTGATTAAAAATGTCTTTTCTCAGAATACGCCTCATTCTTTTGTTACAAAGCTACAACATGTATATGTACTTTACTCCTTATATTATATTATTCACCTCCACAAGTCTCTCCTGCTCTTCAACGGCATCTGCCCAACTATAACTAAATTTCAAGATCTTTAGCTTAGAGTCCTAAAAAACAATGGGTGATATAATTGATAAAAAAAGATTAAATATCATGAAAAGCAGTATATTAAAAGTATCCCCACCCCATCCCTCTTTAAATTGCTTGTAGATGTACATTTGTTGCCAATGTTGATCATTTTAGTTTTGAAATCATATTAATGATTATATGCATTCGACAACCATTTTTAAAAAAATACGAAAAAGATATTATAAAATCTGACAATCTAGCTACTGCATGCATGTATTTGTCACAGGTACCTGACGTAACTTATTTTTCTTTTAATAAAAAAATCATTTGTATAAGAAAGTTAAACTCACAACATCTGTGACAGCACTGTCGCCGAAATCTAAAATCTCATTCCAATCGATTTCCATAGTTGCTTGCCTTGCTACATGAAGAAACAATAATATTTCTCAGAAATTTGAAAAATACCATGAAATATATTTATCTAAAAAAAATTCTGACAAGAAGAATTATAACAAAGCTCTGGATTAAATTTACCTTCTACTTCCAAGCTCAATACTGTTTTGTTTTGTTTAGTGATGATTGTTACGTCACACTGTTTGTGACGTTTGATCACGTGATAATGTAATTATGACGTAAGAATAGCAGAAAATCTTCACAAAGAATAAAAAGATTTTTTTCTTTAGGTCTAGACTTATTTTTTATTTTTTTTTATATAGCCTTTACACGGCACTGTAACTTATTGTTGTGGGATTAGGGAGTGGGTGGGGGTGATTGATATTTCTGCCAGTAATTGAGTTGAGAATTTTTTTTTGAATTATCCCAGGTAAAAAACATAAGATTTAAATTTATTTTCTTTAATTAAAACTTACAAAATTTTTAAAGTGTCGAATGTTGGATAAAAAAAAATACGTATCTATTGGTGCCGATTTCAAACACTGAACTCTTACATTTGAAGAAAAAAAAACGATCAAGTCTTAAAGAGATACAAGAGAGAAAAAATTGCTATACTTACTTTTTCCTTTTGTTAGGTTGTGAAGTCAATTAAATTGTGACGTAGACAAACAAATAAACGTAAGCGCCCCCCATCCAAAACGTCACAATTAGCCATAGTGAAATTGTTTTACATGTATCGGGAAGTTCTTGGTCTAACTATTATTTTTCGTCCTTAGCAGAAAAATGTTAATAATTCAACTATAGAAGGTTTCCTGCAATTGAACATAAGCATGATTTCTGTAAAATTGCATATGTTTTCAACGTATTTGTAATTAATATGTGCCTTTATGAATTTAAAGCCGTAATATTTTTTAGTTTATCCATACCTAAACTTGAAAACATTATCTGGAAAATACATACCTGTACATAAAACAAGCAAATTCAAGGAACTGTCGTCCCCCGCTTTCGGTGTCTTTTTGGGTGAGATGTCATTTTTATGACATATTGTGTGTAATATGAACACCCTATCATATGTCATTTATTTAGAAATCATCACTGAACTCCAAGGTCAAGGTCAAAGGGTTAAAGTTCTTGGTATCCAATGAAAAGTTTTCTCACAAGGATTACAAATGTGAAGTATGAAAGCCCTAGCCCTTACCGTTCAAAAGTCATGGTCAAGATTAAAGTTTTTTCATAAGTACAAAAAATCCCCAAGGTCAAGGTCAAAAGGTCAAAGTTGTTGATATCAAATGAAAGGACTAGCCACAAAGAATACATATGTGAAATATGAAAGTCCTAGTGTCTACTGTTCAAAAGTTGTGGCCAAGGTCAAAGTTTTTGAAAAGTAGGTTAAATTCCAAGGTCAAGGTCAAAATTTTTGGTATCCAATGGAAGGTCTTCTCACAAGAATTACATATATGAAGTATGAAAGCCCTAGCCCTTACCGTTCAAAAGTTATGGTCAAAGTTAAAGTTTTTTCATAAGTACGTAAATCTCCAAGGTCAAAAGGTCAAAGTTGTTGGTATCCAATAAAAGGTCTTGTCACAAAAAATATATATGTGTATTTTAAATATGAAAGTCCTAATATCTACCAATCAGAAGTTATAGCCAAAGTAAAAGTTTGGAATTTTTGTGTAAAAGTGAGTCAAACTCCGAGGTCAAGGTCAAAAGGCCAAATTTGGTGGTACCCAAAGAAAGGTCTTATCACAAGGAATACACATGTGCAATATGAAAGTCATAGCTCTACTAAATTAAAAGTTATGGGCAAGGTTAAAGTTTTTGTGACGGACTGACAGACGGACGGACAGCTAGACAGACTGACGGACAGACGAATGAGATTTAATGTCCCCTCGCTTTCGCGAAAGCGGGGGACAAAAATCATATTTAAATTAATGTGAATTTAGTATTTAGAGTAAAACTCTCATTATTATTGTTTGTAAAAGTATGCTAAACAAAACCGAGGAAATTTTTATCGGCAATTTATAATAGCTGAGTATGATTTTCTTTGAGGCTAGCACACTAACCACTACACTATACTAGCTGCATTCAAAATCATGTTTGTGATATGGCCCTTGACTAAGTATTTCTCGAAAAGATGCGAATGTTATGTCATTAAAGTATATTTTTAAGGTATAGTGGGGGTTTGCTCCATAATATTGGTAACCAAAATGTATATTTTTTATGCAAAATTTGCGGATTTATTCAAAAAAAAAAAGAAGACCCACTCATATCGAAAAATAGTGTTAAAGTGTGAGAAAATTGTCCCTTTTAACCTATTTCGTGTGTGTGTACAAGTTCAAAGGTAAAACTTTTCAATCTTTGTGAGATTTCTGCAAACTGTAGAGATTCTTCATAAAGTGTACTTTCAGATGAAATATTAAAGGAAAATTTGATATAATTTTAGATTTAATTTTAACCTTCATTTTGTCACGCTACAGGATTTTTGCTCGTCATGTTCATCCATCTTCTTTGCAATTTTGAATACCATTTCTGTTAAAACATATAAAAAAATTGTTTTATAATCAAAATTATTTCGAAAGTTTATCGATTTGAAATTTTGACTGAAGTCTGTTCTCAGTTTATGATCATGGGATCAGGTGCCACGGAGGAGTGAGCATCCCTTGCCCAGTCACACCTGCCGTGTGCTCCTTGTCAGGATCGTGAAATAGCGGGGAAATATGTCGACAATCCATTGTGTAAATAATGGTCTAACAATTACAAAGTAATTTGATAAACCTGCCCTTATAGCCTTAAAGCCCCTCCCCCATCCCTTGCCTAAACGAGGTTCTCTACCCCCACCAACCACCCAAATCAAAAATCCTGTATCTGCCCATGAGATGTGTCAGACTCTGTGATATATCTTATTTCAAGCTCATCGGGATACATTGTATCGACATAAGAGTGGAAATAATAATACGTTGTCGATATATCTACTTGTTGAGTTGAAGGCCACAGCAATTGTTCTCTTAAATATTCTCTCCACGTATAAGATTTTGAACAAATTCTGCCTCAAATAAAATACAAAATTAAGTCTGCTTTAAAACGGGGCGCAATTGGTTCCCATGGGAATTCCAATCGATTGTTGGAAGACTTGGTCTCCTTTAGTAAGAGATTGTGCGGATGGTATTAAAAATTGAGAGTCAGATTAATTTTTGTCCCTTTGTGATGGGACCGACTTCTCTATTCTCAATCCCCCCTTCCCCCCTTCCTCAAACCGACCATAATATTTTTTAGTGTTTAAAAAGAAATTCAGCTTAACACCCACAAATCTTGTTGTTTAGTTTGCGATATTCTTTATTAAAATCTCAATTGTAGAACCTAATCAACATAATGAAAGTAATAATTTAGATTGTTGCTTTAATGAAAAAATTGCTCAATGAGCCCCTGTAATCTTTATCCGGATTTTTTTCCGTGACCGCTTTACTTTTACAAAAACATTGTTGTGCAATATGGCGGACGACGAACACGATGTGGACAAGTAAGATCTGTTTTCACGCAATTTCATGCTGACCACAGAAAAATATTTGTTGTGATTGATGTAGCAATTCTTTAATTGTTATTTACTTTTGATTGAAAATAATTATGAAAGTTAAACTAGACCAGATGAATGCTTTTATGACTCATAAGTACAAGTTTCACAGACGCATTGTTTTCAAACTGAACAGGTCCAGTCCAAAGACCATTTCTACATACGACATAGCTATTAATAGTTGCGTAGGTATTTAAACCTACCCAAAGTAGCTATTTTTACCTACTTTTTGTATTATCTGCATTTTGTGACCAAAAGACCAAACGGCGCAACATGGTGAATACCATATATTTTGATACGATGCATGTTGTTTCGGCCTTTCTTCAGTTCGGCCCGAAGTTTTTTCGGACTCTAGCAATTTCGGCATTAGATACTTAGTCGTTTCGGCCTCAGTTGAAGAAAGCGACAAAAATGATATAGAAATGATGTGAAATAAATCTTTATTGAAATTATTGTCCTGTTGCTGTGTATTTAAAATTGAATTTGATAAAGAAATCCTATTGATTGTTCAAAGCGGTAGAAACTTCAATGCATTACGGTGTATGTGTTAACGTTATATATAACTTAATTATTTTACTTTTGCTGTTAGGCATGATTAAATAAACCAGAATTACTGTCTAATGGATAACAAAGAAAGAGGTGTCTATTAAAAAAAAAAAAAACTTTAAAGATAAATCGAAAGGCTCTCTCACTCATGTTTATAACAGATACTGGTATTTGATTCAGTCTCTTTGATTTTTATTTAAGTAAAAGAAAATAAAATTTACATATGAAAATTATTGATAGCTAAATATTGAATTTTAAAAAATCAGAGGAATATGATGAAATATACAAACTGCATAATACATTCAAATATTTTCATTCTGATATATTCAGACAGATAGGAAAAATACATGTCAGAGAATGTATTACTAAGTGACTAACTAAGTGAGGCCGAAACGACTAGGACCGAAACAACTTCAGGCAGAAACTACTAGGCACCGAAAATACTTTGGGCCGAACTTGAAACAGGCCGAAACGACTAGAAATCTTTTGATACAGTCACATTGATGATGAATGCAACAAAATTTTGGTCAAAAATGAATACTTCCTGAATCGACAATTTTACATTAGTTTTTACGCAAAATTGATAATATACGAAGTAATCATTTTTTGGCCAAATTTTGGTCATATCCATCATCAATGTGACTGTATCAAGGAATTTTGTGCTCACCAAGTTGCACCGTTCATGCGTTTGGCCATAAAATGCAGAAAATACAAAAAGTAAGTAAAAATAGCTACTTTGGGTAGGTTTGAATACCCAAGTAGCTGTTAATAGCTACATAGGTAGAAATAGCCTTTGGAGTGGACCTGCTGAATAATTACTTATTGAAGAAAACAATCCCTTTTCTTTCAGCTTTGATGATGATATTGATGACGATGACGAACCTTTGGACGAAGCAGTGGAAACACAGGAGGTAATTTTACTATAAGGCCAGCATTTTTTTATTTTTAGGTTTACGAACATCAGAATGAAAAAGTCCCGTAGGAGGAGGAAATAAAAAAAAAAAAAAAATTATATTTTGGATACATTATCGACTTTTCTACAATAATTTTTGCTTCTTTTTTTATGCTCTCCTAACAGGCTTCTTGCCACTGGACACATAAGGGTTACAAAGGGGAAAATATAACCTTTAATTGTTTATTTCATCATCTACCAGTTGGGGGCAGTGATATAAATCTTTTGATGTTGGACAAAATACAGATTTTCAAAAAAAAAAATCAATTTTTTAAATCTCTTTTAATATATCTTCATTTTTGTTTTTAATGTGTGTTCGGTAGAAATTATTCTAAAATATTAATATATTCGAGACCTATAAAAGTAATAATTCCTTTCATAAAACAGGCATGGAGTATTCCCAAGGAGTATTGAGGAGTAGGGTGGAATTTTTTTTAATTAAGTGTAAAATAATTTTTCTGGCTGCCATAAATGATACTACATGCCTGTATATATTTGTATATTATTGTTTTTAAATAGTTGAAATATTTTATTTGTTTAGGCTATTGTTTATTTCTTCATCAAATGGACTTAACTTCTCCCATAGTTTTATTCATTACATCTGATGCATAAGCGACCCTTTTCTGAAGAATGATGCTAAGACTGTAAGCTATGACAGAAACCTAAACAATGTCTCTGACAATAGCTACCGTGGGCAGTTTTAAACCTGTGGGAGGAAAATAATTTACAATTACAGACAGTTACTTTTGAATACGGATACATAATTATCTCACCACCATGTCACTTTGCAACAAAGTCGTCAGCATTTTATTGTTCTCTGAACGGGTGAAACGTTTTGAATGGCACTCTTATCGATAAATATTTACATTAAACCAAGCTTTAGTGCTGCTATGGACATGATGGACTTGGGGTGCAAAACACAGTTTTATGTATGACGTTATCAGGACGTTACTTGGTGAGGGACAAGCAAAACTGATCCCTATAAAGAAATAAAATGGAGGCTTGTTACATAGACTTCTACATATCAATGGAAAGATAAAATTGTGAATTTTATAAATATCCAACTATAAAACATGTATCAATTTCTAATAGGGGGAATTTGACACATGAAACATGGGGGATATTGGGATATTTATGCATCCATTTTCAGTACACCTATGCATTTTTAGCCCCCCTGCTCAACAAAAACAGAAAAAACCTGACAAAATAAGTTATGTGCATTTCACAGAACAAGTCCTAAGGTTTTCTTTAATGGTGCTTTCAGGGTACATTTTCCACCTCTATAAAGAGCTACATTACCTGCTACTTGACTCATGCAATTCTGCACATGTGAAAACCGCATGTTTTGGGAGTTATCTCCCCCTTTTAAAAAGTCTCACAAATTTTTTTTTTTTAAATAAATGCACATTTTTTTCTTTAAATATTAAGATAAGACTCTACTTTATGCGAATAAAAACAAACAAGATGCAGTTTTCATGTAGACTCCTATAAATAGCAGGAAAATCCCTACCCAGCATGCTTCTCTCTGGGAAAACCCTCTGGATTTTATACGAAACTGTGTTTAGCTACCTTAAAGGAAATAAAAATTTTCTGCAATTCACTTTTTTGTATTTAGGTGCAAAGAAGACAGAATTCCAAACATTTTGGTGCATAAATTGTTGAATTTGGTCAAGAAATGGGCAAGAAATTGTAAATTTAGTATTACATGTCTACGACATTGGTCGACGCATGAAACAAGACTTCGAAGAGAAATTCAAACCTATAACTGAATCAGCTCACCAATAATTCTACTTTTCTAAATCTTAAAAAACACAAAGTATGGAATATACAGTATTTGAATATCAATAAAATTTTACTTTATAATTTTTTTTAAAAGCTCCTAAACAAATTTTACACATATTGCCAGTTTCTGTATGAACAAGGGGGGGGGGGATCTAATGTGAAATAGTCACTGTGTTAAATCAAAATATTGCCTTAAAAGTCTGGACTGTGTCACCCTAACTAGATACTCAATAGGTCTATGTCACATGTATATCTATACAGATAATATGTATTCTCCTTCGCGATCAATTAAATTGAAGGTCATGACCTTGCGGAGCTTCTGTTTTTACATGACGTCACACTTTGATGTCACAATGCAGTTGCGTCATAATGTAAAATAACAACTTTAGTCCTCAGAATCCTGATCACATTTATATATTCTATGGAACATGTATCTACATGTAATAGGCATTATGCCTGACACAGAGTCAACCTGAGATTATATTGTATGGTTTACTACATAAATTAAAACAAATAAAGCAATTTTCTATGAACTTACAGGCAAAAAAATGTGGGTAATGTCATCAAATGCTACTCCTTAAGGGTGCAAAACACAGTTTTATGTATGACGTTATCAGGACGTTACTTGGTGAGGGACAAGCAAAACTGATCCCTATAAAGAAATAAAATGGAGGCTTGTTACATAGACTTCTACATATCAATGGAAAGATAAAATTGTGAATTTTATAAATATCCAACTATAAAACATGTATCAATTTCTAATAGGGGGAATTTGACACATGAAACATGGGGGATATTGGGATATTTATGCATCCATTTTCAGTACACCTATGCATTTTTAGCCCCCCTGCTCAACAAAAACAGAAAAAACCTGACAAAATAAGTTATGTGCATTTCACAGAACAAGTCCTAAGGTTTTCTTTAATGGTGCTTTCAGGGTACATTTTCCACCTCTATAAAGAGCTACATTACCTGCTACTTGACTCATGCAATTCTGCACATGTGAAAACCGCATGTTTTGGGAGTTATCTCCCCCTTTTAAAAAGTCTCACAAATTTTTTTTTTTTTAAATAAATGCACATTTTTTTCTTTAAATATTAAGATAAGACTCTACTTTATGCGAATAAAAACAAACAAGATGCAGTTTTCATGTAGACTCCTATAAATAGCAGGAAAATCCCTACCCAGCATGCTTCTCTCTGGGAAAAACCCTCTGGATTTTATACGAAACTGTGTTTAGCTACCTTGACACAAATCTCCCTTCATTACCCGCCATGTTTTTAAAACCGGAAGTACGAGTTCGTAAATTTGAAATCTCGATCCCGACTCAAAGTTGACATCGGAAAGAAAAAAATCTGTTATTCTTAATTTTATTTTTTTTCTGAAAATTCAAAAACTTGAGCGGCGGGTTTGTAAACCTAAAAATAAAAAAATGCTGGCCTAATTATTCAGAAGCTGTCTTAAGGCAGGTCCACACTTTTACGGATCCGGTTTTAATTTTACACACCAATATAAAATTTTGATTATCCTTATCTATTGAAAAAAAATCTTTTTGGATGATTGAAAATAATTTAGCAAGTATATATTTGTTTATTATAGTGTCATTGTGCACACAAAGCATTTAATGTACATTATTTATAGGAATAACCACTTTGAACTCTGTCCATAGGATCTATATGTAATTTAGTACATACACAGACAGAGTTTTCTTAATTGCCTTTATGGACCTAAAGCTTTTTAATTTTTTTAAACAAACTAACTTGAGATCATTTTATCTTTAATTTTTAGCCTATATCATCTTTTTAAATTTACTTTTTAATAAGTTTTGCGAAGAACGATTGAAAAAATAGATATTACAAAAAATGGGGGTATAGGTGTTCAAAAGGCTGTTTTGTAAAAATTTTCTGGTCAACCATAATAAAGTATGTTTTTTTGCTAACCTAAGATATAATTCTAAATAATTGTGAAGAAAAAATAGCATATAAACAAACAGGATTTTGAGAAATATTTAAAATAAAGATATTTTGAACTTTTTCTCTGAAAGAATTTGACAGAATTAACATCAATTTTTTAGTGTTTTCAAATAGAAATTTCAAAAATTTTCTTGACAAATGAATATTTATGATTTTCCTAAGTTTTAACAATAATTGGATGTGATTTGGCACATAGCTAGATAAAATATGATGTTACACATCTATATGTTGAATTTTTGCTGTTGCATTTTTAGAGGTATATACTCCGAGACATGTTGCATAAAAAATAACCTGCAAAGATATGTTTTTTATGGGTGTTTTAGTTAGATTATGACTTATTTAAGATTTTCAAATCAAAAAATAAAGAGTTTGACAGAAAATTCAGAAAGTACGGACCTACCTTAACACACATTGTTGAAAAATTCATCTATCATTCTATGCATATTTTCATTAATTCTGGTCTGATGTCTATCTGAAAGACCTCAGACTGAAGTTTTTAGTATTGACGAATCATTATGTATACGGAACTAAACATAATTTGGGTAATAAAGTTGGAATAGTTCTTAATATAAGGGATTTCATAGATCATCTTTAATATCCAGAAGAGAAAGAACGAGAGAATTGAAATTCCTTTATATCGAGTAAATACTCTCTGTTTTAAGGATGGTGACCCAATAGACATCCTCCCAGCCGATCAAGCTAGCCAGCCTGTGGAGCCACAAAAGCGAATCACAACTCCTTATATGACAAAGTATGAACGAGCCAGAGTCCTTGGTACAAGAGCCTTACAGATCGCGTAAGTGTCGCAAGCTTGTTGAATACTTGATATCGCGATTACTTAACTTAGCGGAACTCTTTCGCGAAGGAGGTAGGAATCATCTGTTGGGTGGGGGCAATGAGCTATTCAATACAAAGCAAGATCGATCATTGTAGCATTTGTAAGGTCAGATAAGTAAAAATTCCTTGTGGAATACCTCGCTAAACAATCGCTGAACCAGCCTGATATATTTTTGAGAGGAGCCAATCCTAAATTGTCACATTTTTAACGATATTTTTAATTAAGCGGACTCTTCTCGTTAAATTTTCATTGAAAATCGTCACATTTTTAAGCAAATAAAATATTCTAAACTTTCCTTATTTGACAATCTACTATTTTGGAGTTCAATATCTGGCAAAACATTGTGATTTCGGCATTAAATTGTTCGAATCATTCGATTGTCACTACTGTAAACAATGTCATTTGCCCCCAGAAATTAGACTTTTCTCGACTCCCCCGCAAAAGAGCGGTAGTAAGTTAGATAACTGCGAGGTACTCATTGGTAGTCGCGATATAACGTATTGGTTCATGGAACTTTAACAGATAATAGCATGTCTGCTATACTCTTCTGATTTACTTGTTAATACGATTATTACCAGGTATGATATTGACACCCTTTCCCCCTAATACTCTACAATTTAATTATTTGCCAAATCTTTTTTTCCAGTTCTCAAATTTTAAAATTATACTCTATGTAAATGAAGCAGTGCAGACACTGGAAATAATAAGAAAATTCTTACAAAAATTGTCATACAAACTGTGATTGACGTCCAGGAAGTTATGATAAATTATGATATATGCAATAAAAATATTGGACAAAAACTTGGATTAAAAAACTGTGACTTTATTAATAAATAAAATATATTATTGAACAGGATGTGTGCCCCAGTAATGGTAGAACTGGAAGGAGAAACTGATCCTCTACTGATTGCAATGAAGGAACTCAAGTAGGTCACCAATGTCTCATCATTCTGTAGTTAAATAGATAGAGACAAATCTATCATTGATATGAATTAAATTTCAAGTGAAATATTTTAAAGAACCATTAATATCTTAGCCAGGATTCCTGTATTTTTTAGGAAAACCTCAAAACCATAACACATTTATTGTCTAGTGTATGTGATATTATGAAAGAAAACTAGTAATATTTGAACACTTGTATTGCTCATAATACAGACAAAAATTTTCACCTCTGATTTATTTTTTTAATGTAGAGCCAGAAAGATTCCAATCATAATTCGTCGTTACCTCCCTGATGGCAGCTTTGAAGACTGGGGAATAGACGAGCTCTTAATGACCGAGTGATTGTGGCCGTGTAGTATGGAGATTGACTGTTTATTGTTTGTTTCTGAAAGAGTGGATGGATGTATGAAAGCATTTTTTTTTTATCATTTCATCATTTCATTTAATAAAAGAAAAATCATTCTTGTTTCAGTGTAGTTATTGTTGAAGTGAAAGGTACATTTATGTATGTACAGAACTTGTGGGTCACAGTGAATTGTGGGATATTTAGATTGAATGATTCACATGGATACAATAAATTAGGGCTGGGTATTGGCCAGAGATTTCGTATTGCGATATATTGCGATATTTTTAATTGTATTGCGAAATGTATTGCAATATTTTCAATGTAATAAAAATGGCATTTTCTTACTATATTTACTTTAATTTACATGCATAATTTACAAAACTGTGATAAGTAACCAACATGAAGAAAAAAATCTTGTTGATTTCATTTAAGTTATGCTCTTAAAAGTTCCCACAAAACAACTTCTGTCTTACTGTTTGTCTTAATAACAAACTTTCATAATTCCTTTTTTATATTTAATCATTTTGATGACAAAATTCCTTAATCTAAGTATATTGCCAATATATCGATATTACAAAATCGTATTGCGATACGATATTTTTTGTCTTTGTATTGCAATATATTGAAATATCGATATTATTGCCCAGCCCTACAATAAATATTTCTCATTGGTGGTATATGTAACACTCAACAATAATAAGCTACTGTTTTGAGAAATAGTAGCAAATTCGTAGCATCTAATTTAATTTAGATGAAAAAGTTCAGGAGCTCTCAGGTCAGGTGAGCCTAAATTATATACATGTACATGTATAACGAGAAATCAGAGGTCATATATATACAATGTAGTCATGAGAGTAGAACCCACTATATTACCTGGTGTGATATTGATTGATCAATGGCAAATGTAACTTTTAATACATTACTACAGTTAAAAAAAAAAAAGAGCTATGATATTACACATAGCAATAATTGAGAAACTGGTTTCTGAGTCTGTAATAAAAGTGAATTTTCAGCTTCATACAAAACCATTTTTAGATGTCAAATGAAACAAAACAATGTCTTAATTTTGGGGTTTATTACACAAAATTTGTTTTTAATACTTCACATATTTTGAAACAGCTCATTCATTTACATACACATATAATCTTGTATACACCACATATATATAACTCATCACTCATTACCCCTGCCAGAAATTAAACTCAAGCACAAATAATTTAAATTGAAGTGCACAAAATTTCCAGAACTTTTCTATTAATGTTTACATATATATTAAATGATGGGGGGGGGGGGGGACTTACGAAATTACCACTCTTTATGTCAGAAAAAGAAATGGTCTATTTTCATATTGATGCACATGTGCAACTTATGTGTACATTAAAACACAGATCCTGCTAAACCATAATGGAACCGTACATTTGTTCAAATATTCATGTAATACTGTTTATTTATTATTTTTTTTTTTGCATTTAGGTAATTTAAAGCAGAGCTATTTAAGCAAACCATCTATATTCAAAAGGGACAAAACGAACTTGAATGTGTGTTTAAAAAATCCTTCTTCTGGGCAAATATAAATTTTATGATATTATGTGCAGTATAATCCCCTTTAACTTTTAATACAAACAAAAAGCCACTGTATAAGGTAGAATCCTGCAGCAGGGTCCTACGTTTTCATCTAAAACCATTATGTCCAGAGGTAGAAAACAAGTGTAGTAAAATGGACGATGACACATTAATAGTTGTGTACTGGGGTTTACTATCATATATTTATGTATTTTTTCATTGATTTTAATGTTTACATGAAAGCATAGATAATTAAAGATTATAAATCTCACATCAACAAATGTTATCTATAAGTTAGACTGAACCTCATCCATCAATTAATTGTGCTGGTAATGTGCATCCTCAGATACAACATCTATACAAGATTGGTCCAGGACGGATCTACAGATCTGCCCCAAACATTTTAACTCATTTACAATGACCCAGTAAACGAGGACCAGATCCAGATTTCAAAGCACATCTGGTAGTGTGCATCCCTAGTAACAGGTATACCGGTAATCAATTCAAGTTTAGTCACAATAATCCTTGATAATGGACCAGCTTTAAAGCATAAGATTAATTTCTATATCACTTAAAGGAATAAACAGATCACCAACAACACCTAACTATAAAGTGGGTTATTTATGATCTGTGATTTTTTTATCATGGTTCACATACATGTACATGTACATGTAATAATAAATATTAGGTAAAGAATCAATCGTGTTATTTATGTGAACAATTTCAATAAGGTCATTACTTGGCTAAGGAAGAAAAAATTTCCACTATTTATAATCCATTCCAAAGCTAGTGTATCTGAATTTTGTTAAATATTCATAACAAACAAAATGGACATGTAGTTGTTAACATTTGATAATTATCAAACAAATACAGGTTCAGTGACCAGAAGACTTGCTAACATTGAGAAGATTTACACACACTGATATTGTGAAACATTTCAAATAATAAAAGCTTGATGAAAAAACATGCCATCAGTGTACTGATGAAAGCCCTAAGGATATAGCACACTGGTCATCAATCTTATAAAATAATTGAGTTCAGATTGTTTACACATATTACACTAATGACGTATTGCTCATTCTCCCATACATGTATTCACATACACACTTAAAATGTCTTGCTAGGTAAGAGATTTTTTTTTCTATAATCAACATTCCGATAGAAATTTTCCAGATATTTCAAGAAATGCTTATAACTAAATTTGATGGAGTGTACAAATTTGTTACAAAATATTTAATTAAAGATGTAAAAAAAAAAATGTACTCATTAATAGTAAATTTTTCCACAAACTAATAATTGTTAAGTGTCAGATCTTTAAATATTTAAAGGAAGAAGAAAAAACTGTGAGTGATAAAATTCACTGTTAAATGCTGAAAACTCCTGTCGTGCCTTCAGGAAATGGACCAATGCCTGTTCTAAAAGCTTCCACGACAGCAGTATATCAACAGCATACACCTGAACTGTCATGCTCCGGAGTAAAATCTATTTTGCACTTCTCTGGAATTCCTACACGTGTATCACAATTAAGCCATGTAAATGAACATGTTAATGTTTTCCTCGTCCCTCTTCATATATTTGTGTTCTATGAGCCACTCTATTTGCTCTTTGATTAGTTTTTTAGATGGAAGGAACATATTGCGCAATATTTCTACGAGTTCTGTCTGCAAAGCTGCATTCGTGATCCTCTTCCTCATCTTCATGATTTTTACGATGGCCTCCTACAAACAGAAATGTTAACTATTAACCACAGTATTCCCACAAACTAAATCTATAATACTTTTGTAAGAGGTGTAACTGATCACCTAAACTGCACTAATAAATTTCAATCAAAAACTGTTCCTCTGACTGACAAGATAATTCGTTAATAACAATCTTGGCATAAAAAGAAAAATACTAGTAGCTTTTAATAATCCTCTTTCCAGGAATTTTTACTGTATACAAATGATCTCTATATAACAAATTAGGTTTTGGATCAATTCATGACCTCTTGTGACCTTTACATTGTGATTCATACTGAAGGACAATATGTACACACTCTTCTGAGATCCGAAACTATTCAAGTTACTAAAAGGAAAAAGTGTCTGTATGCTTCAGTTACCTGAACACGAAGGATCCTCAACTGCATTATTCCTTCATTATCCTCCTCTTTGCTTTTCTCTGTAGACAGCTGTAACCGACCCACTAGGTTTATCTTCCCTCTCTTCTGGACCTTTCCATTTTTACTGAAAAATTTAGGCACAATTATGTAAAACAAGTAGTTTAAAATGCTTAACTAATTTTTTGCCTCTGATGGCCTCTACGATCATTCTATATTAAAATTACATGTAACAGGAGTGTGTTTGAGGACATACAATAATGAGCTAGTATACTGATTTAAGTTGATATACTGTGAAATCATTAAATTTCATGGGAGTTTAATTTTTGTGGTTTTCAGGAATGAAAAGACCCATGAATTTATGTCCACCATAAAATGTAAATTTTCACAAAGATTATTGCTCAACAATTCTTTATCCACGAAATTAAATCCCCTTGAACCCATATTTTTTTCCTCAAACCATGAAAAATTGACCCCACAAAAAAAAAATGTGATTTTAACAGTAGTAGCTTTCTATCAGATCCTTTACAACAGAATAACTCACATGAGTGCGAATTCTTGGTTCACCCAGAACTGAGTGGCATCATTGAAGTCTTTGGCGGACTTGGCATCAGGTTCACATAATAAAAGCTGACGTTTGATCTTTGGAAAAGCTATAAGTGACTATAAAAGGCAAACAAGAAATACATGTATTTATTAATTAAAATGTACTGTACATTATTATAAATATAACGAGGTTTAAAAAATTTGAATCAGGTCATTTTTAGCAAGCCATTCCAGAGAGGGCAAACAAACAATTTTATAAAGATGGCCTTATTCAAAATTTTTCAGATTGAATATTGAGTATGAAATAAAGTTTATAAATGTGAACAAACCCAGAGAGTTCTCCTGAGTTCTGTGTCTGGGAGCTCGGTGGCTAACTTCAGACTCTCGTAAGATATCCTGTCCTTAGGCCTCTGGTTCCACGCAAACAACACCGCCATTTGAAAAGTTGTTACTTCTAGGTCAAATCGACCTATATCATTGCCAAATGTAATCTAAATTTAAAAATTATAAACTTGTACAATCACAACATAAGCAAGCAAGGTCACTTATAAAGAAATGTAAATTTTCAATGTATCTAATACATGCTATAAACATTTTTACTTCTTTTAACTTAAATTTAAAATTGTATAGGTATCACATACACACATCTTCAAACTTGAGCAATGAGAAACAAAACAAGAAAAAGATACATATACGTTAGCCCATAGTTTTGATGTATGAAGAATTTAAGATTCCATTAGACATGAGCTAGTGCTACAGTAATTTGTTACTTACGATTCCGTTAGACATAAGGTGGTGCCATGTATCTACTTACAATTCCATTAGACATGAGGTGGTGCCACTGTAACTTGCGGCCGCTGTGTTTTTGTCGATAGAACTCCTCCACCTGTGGTATATAGTCCTCCAGTTCCATCGGCAGGGACACAGTTACCCGGTCACTCGACCGCGCCCAAGCTCCAGCGTTCAGTATCTTTATATTAATTGAATCTAAAACACACATACGAGCAAAATCAATGTAAGAATCTCAATTAACATACATTTCCTTGTAATATTTCAGATTCTACATGTGTAATGCATTAATTAATTCAAGATTACGGAGATTCCAAAATTGTATAACTCTGTAGATAATATCTGCATGTATTTGCAGGACTAATGCTAATGTGACAATGTCCAAATATTAATACTGATTAATCATATTCATCCCCCCAAAATTTCCAATAAATATGAATATATCCTCAAATAAAGGTCCTGCATACTTTCTCTAAGTGACTAACTTGTAAATACAGCCAGTACTTGTAATTTACCTGCTATACCCTCATTATTGTTCCGATGGGCGTCTTTAAATTCTTGGTTGAGATCATCACTGACTTTGATATCCTGGAACATCCTGGCCAGTTTGTTTACATAATCAGCTGGCATACCAACTTCCTGATAAGAACAGAAATAAGAAACCATCACACACAAAATGCATACTGGTTATATAAGTGATACACATGTACCTTAATTTTTTAGCCCAAATATTGGACCATAACATTACATGTCGTCATGTATGTATATTGGCAAACTAAAAACCATTCTAGGTCATGAAATACTTTCAAAGAATATACATGTACTAAGAATAGCCATTCAAATCTCTCTAATTACCCTTAACCATTCCACCATGTTTTCCTCTTTCTCATTGTCAGCTGAGGTGTCTAATATCAGTCTCCTTGTTAAGTGAGCCTTGTGATACCGCATAAACACATCCTTATTCTGTACATATTTTAACACCAAAAGCTGAAATACACCAACATTCTTTACATTAACATACTTTTACACAGCTGAAATTTCCAGTTATTCAAATTTCCCGTTGTTGAGAAAACAATAAGTGAGGCAAATCATGACATTTGCTGCAAATACACATATCTTTATTTCAAAGTCTAACTTCTATTTAATGATACGGTTTATCTTTTTTAATCAGCTATTTTTGTCACATACCACATCTCTTAATTTCTTTTCCACCTCCTCTGATGTTAGTTTTTTGCTGAGTGGGGTCTTTCTTAATAACATATCACAGTAGTTGGCCAAAAGTTCAGGACATTTAGACTCTGGCTGAGTTTTGGCACCAATGCTGAATTAATTAAATTATAAATTTCAACAAACTAATTGAATAGAAAATGAGATGACAATCAAATTCTGTTTGACATCATGGAAACAATGTTACAGTATATTACAACTGA